TGGACTATGGGGCGCCTCCTCACCGGGCGTGTGGGATGAGTTTTGCCCATAGCTGGGGTCCGCGGTGCTGCTGGGGCTGTGGCTCCCCACTGCCCAACGTGGGGGCTGCGAGAGGAGCCCCGTGGCCTCACGTGGAAGCAGGGGGGGCTCTGGATGGAGGCGTGTGACAGATCAGCCCATCTGTATCGTATTTGAAGGTCTCAAGTTCAGATTCTGTTTGGCGTAACTTTTATTATTTTAAATGGACCATTAACTTCTTAACACTTAATAGGTATCAGTGAGCAACATTTGCACTACTGAGAGCTRTTTAAGTAACATATTTGATCCAGAAGACTAGTATGCAGGAACAAGGGATTTTCTTTAAACTTTCCATATACACAGTGCAGACCAAAGAAGTAATTTGACATTAGTGGTGCAGGGGAAACTATCTAGTAATCAAAATAATCCCCGCTCCTACAAACGTAAACCAAAGCTTAACAATAGCAAATGATAGCAATTTATCTCCCCAATGTACAGTATAAACAGTGTTTGCCGTTCAGCACTGCCTAGCGTTTTCTGGGGCATGTCTGCAGGTTGAGAGAGCCTGGGCTCTTCAGTCAAACTGACAGCTTTGCAGGCAGGGACGCTGCTACTGCCACGTGTGCTGGCCCAGGGAGCTGCCCTCCCCACAGCTCTAGCCCCAGTATTTTTCCCAGTTGCTTTAAATTAATTTACTTTTAAATTCTAAGTCTTATAAATTGCTACAGCCAACGGCAGTTACACTCTGCGTATTTGGGTTCTTACTCCTCGCATCTACTACTTAGAGGAACGGGAGTCTCGTGCTCCAAGATCCCTYCTGATCCTGCAGCAGAGCGCGCGACCAGAGGTGTCTTTGGCTAAATGCATTAAAGACAAAAGTGGGCTCTTCCTTTCATGTTTGTGCTGTTACTTTCTTTCTATTTAGGCTGAGGTTTCACAATGGCTGCAAAACAAACGCATCCTTTCCGCAGGCAGTAAAAAACAGCCCGAAGTTGAGTCCTAACATGAGCGTGAGCAGAATTTTCTCACCTGCGAAGCTGACAGGGAATTTTCTTTCTTAGCAAGYGCCCCTCACCAGCATCAGTCCTGCAGTCCCTTCAGCCTCCCCCTCGCCTTTGCCAGGGAGAGCTCCCTTAATCCCGATCCTGCCTATGGCTGTGTCCTGCAGCCGAGCGGGAGCGGGGAGGCGCAGGAGGCGCCGTGCGTTGGTCCTGCAGCAGCTGCTCGCTGCAGGGCCTGGCCTGCTGTTCGTGGGAGACGCAGCTCTGGAGAACATGTGCTGGAGCTCGGAGCCCAGCCCCAACTGACCTCCAAGGTTTTGCTATATTTATATATGAAATATATAAAAAGGAATTGTTTGACCTAAACTACTTTGGGAAAGGTCTTGCCTTGCATCAGCCTGGCTATGCCTTCCAATTTTTGGCTGGCGTGCTTTATTCTCGAGTGTTTGAGGAATGATTGATTGCTCTGGAAGCAAACTAAAAAGATATATTTGAAGTCGTGAGCTCTCCAGGGCTAAAGAGCATTATGAGTGTAGGTATGTTTTAAGCGTACACATTGGAGCGCTTTAGCAGCTAAGTACAGGCAGCTGCTCTCCGGACAACTTTGTTTTCATAGTTTGTGCAGCTCGTATGCAGGGGGAGGCTGATTTATTGGCCGTCTCCACACGTGTTTCCATACATGTGGTCAGAAGGGGGAGAAAGAACCTGCCTAATGCAGTAAAGATGCTCGCTTAAGTCTCTGAAGAAGAGTGTAACTTAAGCAAGTGTTTATTCCAGGAGAAAATAATTCAGGAAAAACACCGCTATAATCTTAAACAATGGCAGCAATCTGCAGGCTTTTGGAAACTAAATTGCTGCCTTCCATCATTTTTCACAGGTGGGTTTGCGTCCTCTTGGCCGGTCTGCRTCCTACATACAGAATGAACAGATTACTCTAATTTGAATGGTGACTACAGTGCTGTTTTGATTCAGTTAGTCACAAAACCGTAAAACTTTTCAGCACATGTTCTGGCAAGCTCCTCATCAGTTCCTGCTTCCAGAGCACTGTCAGGAGCCATTTGCATCTTCTGGTATATGACAAAGACCAGTCACCTACTGGGAGGAATCTTCCCCCTCGGGGGTCTCCGTGAAGCTCGGCTGCCTTTATTGTCCTTGGTCTGTGCAAGAACCCGCTCATTTACTTAATGTAGTGACCAAATAGCACAAAAAGCAAACACCGTAGCAAGAATCTTTATTATCTTTAAACAATCTCCTTATATTACAATTTATGCACCATCTGCAAAATTAGAAGTATTAAACTATTTCCAGAAAATATTCAGGAATGAGGAAAATATATATATGTACACATTTTTTAAATAGTGTTACTTAAACAATGACTGAGTTACTAAATCGCGGTATGAAATGTTGATAATGGATGGGTTCATTTCACATTCAAGAAAGTCAGATCCCAGACTCCTGCATTTCAGTGTACAAGAGAATCAGCTTCTAGATGCCACTTTTAACAAAGCAGAACTCAAAAAAACCCAACTAAACAAAAAAGCAAAACAAACATCGCAATTACTACATTCTCATTTACYGTGCATTTGGTCATAGCCAGTATGCATAGAAGATATTAACTAAAGTATCATTATTTGCTCAATCTGATGAACATATTTTATTCCAGTTCTTAAAGACTCTCCAATTCTGGCCATGTTCCAGAAGTTTGTGGCCATAATTACATAGAAAAGGGGAGAAAAGGTACCACAGTTTTAAACAAGTAAGCTTTTGTTTTCTAAAATAAAGCTGCCGCAGCCACGTTTGGTCTATAAAGCAACCTAACCATGCTGGGAGAGAGCAATTTCTTGCCCATTACAACTTGTAAAAGAGCTRACAATAAGACATGTAGAAAGCTCATTTGTTTTGAACGTGTTTAACATTGTATCTGAAGTGAATCACGATAGCATCACTCACCATTAATGTAACTGGAGTCTGTGGGTTTATACTGTTGGATAAATTGAAAAAAAATYGTATTTTTGCTTCATGTTGCTGAATATGCCTGTTCTTATCACTTCAGATATGATAAGCTTAAAATAAATTAAGCCTTAAGTAAGAAAATGCACTATGGTAGTGGTGGAGATAAGAAGGAAGTGATACCGAGCAAGGCTACGCTCAGCACCTGCCCTTCTGCGTTACATGGAGCTCATGGATTTTTGGTGGAGTTGAAGGAGACGGAGCACTAAATTGAAGGCGACTCCGTTTCTAAACTGCATGTTACTGCCTCCCAAATAACTACCAGACAACGCACAACGCCACACATATGATGAAAGTCCCTCCGAAAATTTCATGGTGGATAAAATAAAGTCTCTGTATACAGACAGTTTTAAAAATAAATGGATGTCGTAGTTAGCGTTTTGTTCTCCAAACCGCACAAAGGCACTAGTTTACATTAAGGACTAATGTCCTGCAAAACTTCAGTCAAATAAAGGAAGCTATTTTAAGGTTAAAGTGGTGCTAAAACCCAGCTGTCACTAGTAACTTAAAACAGCCATACTGGGTTTTCCAGATTTAGTGGGGGAAAATGTTTTGCCTCAGGACGTACATGTTGGGAGGAGTGTGTGTGGGGTAGGGGCGAAAGCTCAACCTTGAGCTAGTTTTTACAGCTGAGTTATAAACCTGGTTTATAACAGAAACTGGCAGACCCTAAAATATGATATAGGAGGTATTGATAGAATTTTTGTGTTGGGCAAAAATGTGTCTGTGCACTCAAATTTTCCTTATTCTCTGKTTTTTTTTCGGGTATTGAAAGGACAAAGCATTTTGGTTCACTTTGTASTCCAATACTGTCCCGTTGCCACTTGGTCTGTTAGACTAGCGCTTTCCTCCCAGCACTAGTCCTCAGCTGGACAGCAGGAATGTTAGACAAGCTGTTATTAGGTGTAATTCTGTTGCTGAACAGAACGTCCCAACAGCGACGTGTACCTCCATGGCGCAGTGCCCTGCACAGCAAGCCCCGCTTCCGAAACGGTACGAGGCCGCTCCTCTTGCCACGACCACCCATTAATTAAAGCCCTTCCTCAAGGCTCTGTTTTTGACCATGGTGAAGGTGCTGAGGAACACCCGGGCATGGCTGGGCTCGGCGCCGTAGCGGTAGGTTGTGGTGGCGGCGGCGGGCGGCGGCGGCGCCGAGGCCGGGGCCGAGCCCGGCGCCAGGTGGCACGAGGCCCTGGTCACGTAGTCCACGAGGCGGCTGTACTGCTGCTCCGACAGCCTCTCCCGGGCTCCCTCTGCCTGGAAGCAGCAAACGTTAGAGCCGTTAGAAAACGGAACCTCTCTCGTATGAGGAGGGGCTGAATGAACTGGGCCTGTTTTCTCTGGAGAAGAGAGGGCTGAGAGGGGATCTGATTAACATGCACAAGTTCAGGAAGGGAGAATGCAGGGAAGAAGGGGACAGGCTGTTTTCATTGGTGACCAGTGATAGGACAAGGGGAAATGGCCATAAKCTGCAACACAGGAGGTTCCATCTCCATGTGAGGAAGAACTTCTTTCCTGTGAGGGTGCCAGAGCCCTGGCACAGGCTGCCCAGGGAGGCTGTGGAGTCTCCTTCTCTGGAGGTCTTCAAAACCCGCCTGGATGCCTCCCTGTGCCCCGTGCTCTGGGTGTCCCTGCTGGAGCAGGGGCTTGGACTAGATGACCTTTAGAGGTTCCTTCCAACCTTGAATATTCTGTGATTCTGGGATTAGGGGAACACAGACACCGGGCTTCACGTAACGACGCTAAGTTCAGYGCTGCCTTCTGTGTAACCGAAAGCTTTTCCCCTCAGGGATCTTACAGTGGACGTTCTCATAAGCGGAATTCTCCCCAAAGTTGGGATCTGTGGCTTAGTCCTCTCCTTTGGTATTTCGAACATATCTACGCTGAGAAGCTCTAGCTCTGCCATGCAAAAGCAGAGGCAGTGTCGCCCGAGACTTCCAGGAATGGACTCAGGAGAGGTTTTTACCACAGATCAACTTGCAGATGGGCAAAGCTTCTCAGCCACTTCAGCAAAAGGCCAGCAGTTCTTGGCAGTGCTTATCAGGCAGCTGTCCTAATTAGCCAACTAATTTTCTTCACAAAATACAATTAAAAAATCGCAACAGCCCACAGCTCTAGCAGGGAAGTATTTAAGTCTTTAATGAGCTTGGGAATAAGTGCCTGAATCTACTTCCCAGTCAAATGGTGTAACTAGGAGGGCCTGTGGCCATCTGTGTCTCTCTGGTAAGACAAAAATACCACTCGGGGTCAGAGCATTTGAGTAATTCAACAGAATTGCTCTGTTTTTTATTTTAAAAAAGGGTTTTACTAAAGATTGTTGGAACATATAATTTAGGAAAAGAAACTGAAGAGAAAAAGAACACACCAGCATGAGCTGGAAGGACTTCTTTGAAGAAATCCCTGTTTGCAGGCTGAGATAGGTAGAAGCTCAAGTTTGAGAGAGACGCAGGTAACCCACGTCTGTTGGAAAAAAGGACAGCAAAACCAGCATGGCCCAAAGGTGCCAACGTCGTAGATGGAAAGCCTTGGCCGAGGCTGGCCCTGGCAGAGCAAGCGGCGCTGCCCTTCTTTGGGAGGCACCGGAGCCAAGCGGAACCAGCCTGCGAGGGGAACGCGTGCGAGGGCGCGTCAAGCTAGAAGCAAGAACTCAAAACAAGACTTTTCAGACATACAGCCCTGGACGCTTCCRTGACATCACGAGCCAAGTCATTCAGAATAAAGCTTATTTTCCCAAAATACAAATGACAGAAAAGTAGAAATGACCCTAGGGTAGGTTTTGATGCTTCCTTATTTACTCTTGGAGAATTGCTGACCACTCTCATTCTTGAAGGGTTTATAGTGTCTTCATTGGATGCCATACAGATGATTGAAAGACTGTCCTTTTTTTTTCCTGGCTATCTTTAAGAAAGCATTAGAGATATCTCAGTACACGTGATGATTTTCAAACAGGACAATTGGGTTCAATKAAACATCTGGGAATAGTATCTTGTCACATCTCTGCATAAAAAAATAAATCYTCACCTATCTGAAGAAAGAATTAATAAGACAGATAGTGGCACACATCACATCCAAATCAAAACAGTCCCCTCTGGTCTTTTACTACGCCTTTGGAGACGGATTTGCTGCTCAGCAAGTAGAARCACTCCTGTTTTCAATCATCCTCAGAAGAATGCTGAAGGAAGCAGGCACGTGAGCAAGCTCGGGAGCGCAGAGTTTGATCCTAATGGTGAAATGGGCAAAGTGTGGTTTCCATGAGCGACCTTGGAGGGAGTGAAAAATCAGGAGCCTACTGCTGTGGCAGACACATGGCTAACAGGGGAGAATGGGGTYGGAACCACGTCCTCAGCCTCGTGTCACAGAAATAAAGTGTCTCTGCAGTCGGTTTTACCAGTTTAAAGATGAGAAATATGCTAAAATAGCACCTATGTAAGCTAGATGATAAGTTATGAGGCAAATCGTGTACGTGGGTGGCTCCACATTTTTTCCTGATTTCTGTTTCTAGGCAGGTGAGGCCAGGGGAAGCTGAGGTTATAGTCCTGACTCCACAGTGACCGAAAGATCAAAGTTGTCAGAGGAGATGGAAATGGTGCTGGCACCACCGAGAGCCCATTCCTCATCCAGCCCCGGGCCATATCCCACAGATAGATAGCAAAATTATTCAGCAGGAAATATTAACTGCACTTGGATGGTCCTCCAAAGTAACTGGGACCCTGCTTGCTTCCAGATGACTTCATCTGTAACCATTTTCTTCTCCAGCCAGTTTCAGTTTAGCTTGTACTGTCAAGACAACAACAGAAACTTGGAATTGCTTTTGGTCCACATTTTACCCTAAATTGGACGTAACAGTGTCACTGCGTGCTTTAACCCCCAGTGTGAACAATTACCATGTTAATAGCCAAACCGTTAGACGAATCCAAACTTGGTCACGGGTTGCTTAATCTATCTGCTTGAGGAATCTTCAAGATAGCTTGTCTTTTCATATTAACATTTTGGGGTTAAGAACTACAGAAGCCTTCTAGAATTTCTTCCTCCTCCTTTTATGGCTTAGAGAAAATAATTCCTCAGCACTTCTAATCAAATCACAAATAGCTATTTGGTGTACAAGCTGGATGTGGACGCAGCACTAAAGGCCTGTTTTGTGCAAACTCAGTGAGTGAGAAAGAAAGAGTTCTTTGGGCTTTTTTTACTGCTCTGAAAAATCCAGAAGTCAGTTAAGCTGCAAAGATGATATACGCACACTATCACGAAATCCCTGTTGCAGCTCATCAGAAAGAAACCCTGAAATTCCCGGGCTCTTCAGCTTTCTGCTGTCTCCTTGATATCACGAGCTATACCAAGAGCAGCTGGAAGAGCCGCCTTTTGGAGTCTGACGTGCGTCTGGAAGCAAGCAGTGCCTCAATTATCTCAAGATAATCCAAGTACAATTAATGCTTCCCTTTCAATAACAGCGTTGTCAGTGCCAGAGTTCTCAAGAATTCATCCAGTCTGCTCCTAGCCAGATGGATTAAGTTATATACTGTGAGGACGAACAAGCTATCAGACAGACCTATTGCTGAAGGAGTCAAAGCATGTGCTCTATAACATCTCTGGTGATTACAGCTGTGGAACAACGCATGTTTTGTTTCCTAATAGTTCCAAGAAGCTGAGGAGAGGGAAGGGGAGAAACTGTTTTGGGCAGAGCTGAAACAAAACTTTTTGGCAATTATTTATGGAGCAAAATAAGACAAAAAATAGACTTTATAATGTTGAAATGAAGCGTTTCAATTTACCGTTACTGCTTCTAGGATTTTTGACTAAATTAATCAGGAAAATAGCTAAAATTCACATTCAGTAACATCATCCCCTAAACTTATCATAATATTTTTGTTGATTTAATGGCACTTTTCAGCCAAGTTTTGGCCGGCTCTACCGCCGTCATGTGCAGAAGTGTTTGCGCTTCAGCTGAGGACATCTGCAATGCAACAGGATGGCCTACCACTGGTATTGAAGAGTTATGTCTATTAGGTGTAGGTCTGCAGCTCCGAAAGCACTCATCAGCAAGCCACTGCTTGCTGCTCCTTTCCTTAACCATGGCTGAAGATTATTCACACAAGCCCTTGTTGAAGACCAGAGGGGCCAGGGCTGCCATCAGCACCAAGGCTGTACAGTCCAGCCCCAAGCACTGCAGAACTGTCATCTTCTGCTACAAAGAACAAACAAACAAACAAACAACAAACCAACCTACAAAGCATGAAATTTCCCAATCCACCAAGAAAAGAATATATGGGAACACTAACTGCAAAAGCATGACTCTAGGCAACCTTCAAATCACCAAATCACAGGATGGTTGAGGTTGGAAGGACTTCTAGAGATCATCTAGTCCAACCCACCTGCTCAAGTAAGGACACCTAGAACAGAGAGCACAGGGCCACAGCATCACAGAATCTAAATCCCTTGGAGCCGGGTGTTTGGACTAGATGACCTCTAGAGGTCCCTTCCAACCTTAACCATCCTCTAGCTTTCTGAAAGCTTTTGGAATCTCCTATTGTGTAGTCCCCAAATTAAAGTCAAGTTATTCCTATCTGCCTTCCTTTCAGCTGCTATAGAACATATTTCTTCATACCTTCATGCACACTCCAGCACCCACTTGTGCACTCTAAATAAATACTTACGCCAGGTCTGGTTTTCGGAGTATCAGAATCAGCTTTTGCTGCCTTGCCATCACTGATCCCACTCCACCTTGGCTGCAGGCTTGTGTGCCTCATACCACACATTTTCCCTGCATTCTCCAGAGCCTGTGTCAGCAAAGGAGCTGATGCCCGAGGCTGCGTGGCTGAAGGCTTCCAGCTGCTGGCACTGCTGTGCCACTGCAGCAGGGCTCTCATTTATCTATCCAGAACCTCACAAAGAAAGAAGGGCGTGCATTTGGTCCAGTGCCTCAAAAGCTGGTCGTGTTTACAAAGACAACAGCCACCACAGCTGCTCTAGTGCAATAAAAAAATCAAGGCTGGAGCTAAAGCTGGGGCTAGGATGGGCTGAGCACATAAAATACCCCAGGAAGAAGCAGATATCTCCCCTTCTCCTTCAGGGCAGTAGCCTGTTAATAGTAGTAGGTTGAAGTCTTTAAATTAAAGTTTCCATTTGCAAGAATTGGAGGACATAAGGAACTAAATTGAGCTAGTAGCCAAATAAGACCATTGTGTTAAACTTGGCAAGATGAGAAATACGCCACAGGGAGTGAACCTCAGCATCACTGAATGGTTCCAAGAGAAGGACCTGTCCTCGCTCTGAGTTTGCAGGCAATGGCCAAGCACCTCCACWTGCCAGCAATGACCACCTCACACACGTGATGTTGGTCATGAGAACCTTGGCAGAACAGACTTGCTCCTTACCAAGATCCCACATTTCCTCTTCTTTTTCCCTCAGAATATTACTGGCATGGATTTTTAAGTTCTATAATCAGCGTCAGGAGAGAAGGGAGAAGACACCTTTGTTTTATCCATACAGTGACAGAGTAAACAGTGAGATGTGGGAAAACAACATGTCCCTTGGTCTGGGACTTAATATCTCTGGCATCTCAATCCAAAGCTGAGTAGGCCTGGCATCAAAAACACCACGATGGCAGTTTTATCAGGGGAGCACAATGTTCCTCAGCCCTTACCTCCACATCACAAGGCACCCTCTGCTGTTTTAGCTGCACCCTCAGCAGGTTCTTTTGCTGTTGGTCCTCCAGGCAGTCGACCTCGGTCACGGGGAASGCCTGCTGCTGGGTGTCCTCGCTGAGGCTGACCACAAAGAGCACCTCTGAGGTGAGCAGCAAGCAGCCCTCGTGCTGCTGCCCCGAGCCACTCACAATCATCACATCGAGGGCCATGTGGACTTCTGGCCTTCCCAGAGAGTGCAGCATTTTCCTGCATTAACGAAGGAAAAAAAAAAGAAAAAAACAGTGTTATGCATTGGATAATTAAGTACTTCTTTCGATCACTAAATGTTTTTACTTAAGCTATCACGCACATATATATATATTTATATATAAAAGCAGGTGAATACTCTTTTAATACTGAACTCTCCTATACTGAAAGATGTAAGACTTGAGATTTACAAGRTAAATGTCAAACTGTTATTTATCAAAACTCTTTAATCATTCACTGCAAAACTGGCCTAATACCCACCCTAGGTCAGCCGATTTCCTATCCTAATAGAAAAATTACCCTTAAAAGAGGATTACAAATTCAAGGCAGAAAATAAACCTATCTTCACTAACAGCTGTTTCTGGAGAAGTGCAGTATTTTTCTTGGGCAACGATAAATAAGTAAGAACTCACTGAATGCCATTAAATAAAGATCAGCTCTGTAGTTCCAAAGCTGGAAGCAGATCAGCAGCCCATCATTTGCAGATTGGGTTTCTATGCACTACCTTTGTGTTTAATGTTCCTAAACAAACTGCCATAACTCAGCCTTTCCTAGGGAAGCAGCCTGTTAACTTGACCACCGGCCAGAACCTATTAATAAACAATGTGGATGTAAAAATGAGCAAGTGTCTAAATAATTTTACCAGACATATTTGACGTGGCTGTTTGGAGCCTGCTCAACATGTTGATCATTTGGATGAGAGCGCTGCTTGGGAAGCTGAGAAAGTCCAGCTCCATGCAAAATACCTGTGGCAAGAGAATTTCAGGGTTTTTTTTACCAGTTGTTTTCTACAAAACAGTTACATGCTGCAGTGATGTCATCTGTTTAGAGCAGTTCATAAAATAGTGCAGATCCAAAATGATGTCACATCTTTGGAAGCTGCAGTCAAGATAATTCATTAAATATTACAATGTAAGAGTTGTGCACTTAACCCCAGTGATCTTGCCTTAGAAAGAAACAACAGAGAAAAAAAACACTGAATGTTCTTAATATCAGCCATACACCAGCAATTAAGAGAAACACAATGCTCCTGAGAGCTATCATTTCAGAGTGGGATCGGACACATCACTTACAATTTATGTATAAAAAATCAAGATCATTGCTAACTTCCTTGCTTAATATTAAAATACTTCCACATACGTGTCATGATCGGTACAAATTAGAAGGAAAGTTTGCCTAGATACTATATTTAAATGTTCAGTTACTTAATCCAGCTGTTAAACACAGATCCATACACATTTATGAGATCTCCCGGGGCATCTGTTTTATTGTGAATTCTTCTTAGGGCCAGCACCGAATGCAGACTGTGAGGAGCTGTTAAGCAGGTTTCTAAACGGACTGTCCCAAACTGAAGATGCTGCAGGGTGGGTGCTTTCAGGTGGCTTGTAACCTTATGAAAATAAGGCACGGCCACCAGAAAGAGATCCACGGCTTGCAAAAAATTGCAAACGAAAGTGGTTCTAAATGTTTTTATAAGACAGACGGAAACTAGGATAAGCAGTAAGCCTCAGTGTTACAACGTTTAGTGCAAAGTTACTTTTTAAGTAAACAAAGAAAACTTATTTTGTCTAATTAAGCATTCCACTGAAGCTAAAGGCATTTTTGCACAAGGGTGTCAATAACTTAAGATTCCTTTTCACACAATGGACAATAATTTAAACAAAACATCAGCACTGGAAAAAAAAAAAGCTTTAATTTTTAACACACATGTTGATGGTAATACTTAAAAGCAGCATCCCAGTTGTAGCAGTTGGCTTACAGAGGTTCTCAGCATTATGTGAGTGAAAATGTCATTTACAGATGGAGAAAGAGAGAACATGTGTTTAGTTCTGTGTGGTCCCCCACCCCTCGGTCCCCCCAAGAGGCACGGTCCCACTTCCAACCCAGTTGTGGGTAAGACTTACTCAAACTCTTCTGTGCTCTCCTCTCACGCACTGTCAGCTATTATTGATACAGTTTTTTATGTTTTTTTCCTGGSTAACTCTTTTTGTCACATGCTCTTGGAAAACATGACGTGCCGTAGACCATAGCGGCCACGAGAAGTGTCCCTCTGCTGCTGTGGGTAAAGACCGCACTGGAGTGAACTCCAGAAACTGCAATCCCCAGGCTACAAAAACTGTAATCCCCAGGCTACAAAATACCGTGTGCTCAGCCCAAAACAGCCCCGCAATGTTTCTGGCAGTTCCTGATTTGCAGATAAGTGTTGTACACGTATGGGGTGCATAATTCTGAGCAGCAGCTATTATTTACACTCATGCAAACGAGATAAAGTCAGGGCAATTATTTAGAGGTAGCTAACAACCACCTTATTAAAGGGAACTATTCACTCCCTTGCGGCAGGTTATGTTAGTAGCTTTTTCCTTAAACTGGTTGCTTTGAGTTGCTGAGTTGGGCATTTGTGAGAGGCAGTGGGGAGAGGGAATTCTGAACTTYAGCTCTGGGAGAACTGCTATTCTAACCAATGTTACAGGAAATATAAGCTATGATTAAATACCTTAATTTTCAGGATTTGTTTTAGTGAAGCAAAATTAACGGCATATTTATATTTACAGGTTTTGTATCACCAGTTCYCCCAGCCCTGCTTCCTCCCTCTTTTTTTTTCAGTATCCAGACCAGCAGCTTAGAGTTCATGATACTGAAAGCAAATAAATCGGTATAATTTTTCTACTTCATCTTTATCTTTTGCAGTCCTCAGCGGTCCTGAAGCATTTACATTAACCTGCAGGGCCTGACCAGCAGTGCCCCCGAGCGCGTCGCGGGGCTGGAAGGGTCCCCGGGGCTGCTTAGGGGTGATCCGGGCACCTAATCCCGGGCCGCGCTTCCCGCAACGCTCCAGTTGGAAGCGGATGTTTCCCACTACACAGCCCACTCGTTTCTCCCCATAACGTAACTCCCTATTTATTTAAAGATAACACAGCTCTTCCCTTGCTGCAACAAAGTGATCTCAAAATAACGCTCTAATTGGGGAGAGTGTTGCTCAATTACATATATGTCAGGAACCCTTTTGTGGCACATATGTTTCTGTAACTAATCCTGCTGTATTCCAAGAATTACTTCACGGTCTTTGCGCTCTCTCTTTCTGGTGCTGTATGAGACTGCTCCGTAACACAAGGGAGAAGCCTGGCCTGATTTTTAAGAAAAGGCACACAACATTCCTAACTATTCAGCTGTATTTCTAAGCCTTTCTCCAAGGCACCCAGCTACTGAGTCATGGAAGCTGACCCAGCAGCCTGTTTTTTGCTGTGTTCGAGGGCTATTTTAAATATCTCAYGCACATTTAAGGGGTGATGCTGGAAAGCAGAGCAACTCACCGTAGCCCGTCTGGGAGACGAGCTCGGCCGCGCCGCCGATGGGCTTGGTGAAGACCCCCATGATCCCCTTTCCCACTCCGGAGATAACGCCTTTGGCTTTGTGCCCCGCGGAAGCCGRGCCCTCGGATATCTTCTGAAAATTCTGCATGGGCTGATCTACAATCCCGGCAATTGCACCTGGAAAAACAAGAGTCCCCAGTGGTTAATGAAGATTAATATCCCGGAATCGGAGGAAATCTTACTACTGGAACTGAATGCTGGTTGTGGCTGCAGGCTGAACCCCACCCCTCCTATATCRCTGTATTTGCAGTACACACATGCAGTTAACTAAACGACTCCTCAGCTGAAGTTTCAGTGAAATCTCTGCTTCCTTTTAGTGTATTTTACCTTTTTCAAAACTCCGCATCACTTAACTGGATAGTATGTTTTCATCTTTCAATTACTTTCACTAAATTCTTTCACTGAGTTGCTGTAGTTTAGCTCATCTTATGTAGCAATCCTRAAAATGTTGGTCTTGGAATAAAATCCATCAGTTTCAGGACACTTTAGCAGTTATGGAAATGAGATTTTCATGTAAGCCTGAGATTGACTCCATGAGAATAAAAACTGCCTGTATTCAATAGATCATTTTTATATCCTCTTCCACTGCCAGAAATGTTCATAAGCTAATGCAACTTCTGATATACTACTAAGATTAGCAGAATTAGACTTTGGGACTTTTTGTTACTTTTTTGTGAAAACGATCATATTTTACTTTAATGTGCCTGGGTCAAACTTTTACAAGTGACACGGTGACCTTCCCAGCTTTTAGTATCAACAGAGAACTTCAACTTAAATCTTCCCAAATGTAAACAGGTATGTGAGGTGGGACATTCCTTTGATCTGGTGTTTACTCTAGCCACTTAACCACGGGCATGTCTCTAGTTATTGTAATTTTGACAGATAAGCTATCTGGAAACGCGGGCCCGGTGACCGGCCCAAGCGGCATCGGAACCGGCCCGCCGCGTCCCGAGGCCTTTGCTCGGTGCTCCACAAACAGCCTCCTCTGGCACCTTCTGCTGCCAACAGCCACATAAAGCAATTCCCGAAGGGGCAGGCGCCATGTCCCGGTGGCAACCAGGCTTTTTTGCTCTTTGGAGATGCTGCTTYGCACGGGGCGGCAGATCCACAGGGCCTGCACAGCCACGCGGGCCCATGTGCCCCGCAGCGCGACGTGCGCCCGTCAGCTGGCTGCTCGCTGCTCTTCACATGGTTTTAGTTACTGTTYACCAGAGAAACGGAGAACTTGCTGACTCTGAACAACCAGAACTAACACTGCACTGGTACACGGGTGTTCACTCCAAATAAAGGACACAGATGAGGAGAAGGACACGTCTCCCTAGATCTCCGTGCTGGAATGTTATCCATCTGCAACTCGCATAGCCTGGGAGTCCCATAATCATCTCTCCTCTTAGAGATGCTGCTTCCAGCTTTTGTATGTATATGATTTACTGATAAATGCATAGTATTTCTTCAGAAAAATGTTGTTTCGTTTTTATTGTGATACTCAGTTTTTGCTGAGCTCCCTCCCCAAAGCCGCCTGCTCAGCTCAGCCTCTCCTCTTTGTACCACAAAGATGCTATGAAGCTTCAAGCTACAAAGCTCCCTTAATTCCGTGCCCTGGCAGTGATACAATTTCCAATACGACTGCTTCACTAGTACTAAAATAATACCCCAGCATGACATTACACAGTGGGGATCGTTTGTTCTGTCTTCTCTTTGGTGTGGCTGTGGTGCCTGTGCAGGCATAACCCAATACCTGGTGCTCTGCTGGGTTTCCACTATCACGTTACCCCTCGACCTCCTTCACTCTATCTCTCGAGGTCATCCGCAGCAACTGCACTTTCAGAACAGAAGTTATTGCCTTATTAAATGTAATCCACCTAAGTCCTAGCACTAGTAAATTATTTACTGCAATACACTTGAGCAATGTTATAAGGTAATAATAAATAAGAGCCTACTCCAAAGGACCTGTGGTATGCTCCAGGCACTTCTCAGCTGGAATTAGGCCCAGAGGACAAGGAAACAGAATGGAGACTGCTGTGACTGTGCTCTATAAGATTATTTATGTAGTACCCCAAATAATATAGAGCTTATTTAGCCACTTGTTTAATACTTCCACACTTGCTGTTATTCTGCCATTTTGTGCATGCTCTGAACTTGTCTGTGAAGCCACYGCCTTCGTCCTTCCAATCCTTTTGCAAACTCTGTCTTGGTACCTGCAGAAAATATGACCAATGGTCTTGCTTGCTCTCTCTCTCCCCTCGCCCTCCCTAGGCTCTTACCTCGGGTTGTAACTCAGTGGCTTAACTCATTCACGTGCTGGGGTCATGCCCACGAAACCTGTAAGCTTTAAACTTGCTCCTCTAACTAAGCTGGAGCTCTCCGYGTGCCTGTGGCTGGGTCCTGTGACCCCTGGGTAGGGTGGCCAGCTCTGTGCAGCTCCCTGCCTGCCAAAACACGTGTGGTCACAGGCAAAAAGGTCAAAGGCTGAACAGCCTCAAACCCAGCAGCAGTGAGATCCTGGTGATGCACATCTGAGGTTCACCACATCTCCCAGTACCAGRAGCCATGCAAAGAAACTATTCCTTGATGATGTCCATGTGGCTCCTCACTTTCCAACATAAAATGAGTGGAAGAAGCACCATGCAGGATGTCCCTCGCTGCATYGGGGTATCGGGGAGGCAGAGTGTGAGGTACCCCTAGTGCTTCCTCCCATTCTCATCTCACCCTCACGGCCTGGAGACTGCTACAGTKACCTGCTGCTGTCCCTACCCTTTCTCCTGCATGTCCCCTGTCCGTTCGCTTTGCTGCTTTATAAAACAGCTCCCTGTTTTGTTCTCCCTCCTCACCATAGGCTTTCAATTTTATATGATGTCCACATATGTACACAAGCATTATGTATGTATAAAGAAAACCCCAATAAAATTAAACACCAAAGCAACAAAACAAAAACATATTCTTCCGTTACTGGACCAAAGAGGTTCCAGCAACACCATAACATCTGCTAAGCATCAGCTGGGGTGCGCTCCAGTTAATATATGTTGYTGAGTATTCATAAAAAAGATACTTTGATAACTACAAAATTGGGATGGTTCAGAGTATGTCACGGTATTACTTCAAGAAGAATTTGATTAGTGCAGGCAACCGGTTCCTGCTCCGAAAGCCCTGCAGCGCTGGTGGACGTGGCRAGGGCTCTGCTTGCAGCAGGCAGCCACGCTCGGCTCATCCGCAGCGAGCTCACGCAGWCCAAGAAATATCTGGAAAAAAAAAATGTCCCCACGTGAAACTGTCCGTGTCTTGCCAAGAGGCTGGAAGTTAGCAAAACTGAAACTGTTTTGTTCCCTTTTCTTTTTTTCTGTCACCCGGTTGGATTGCCGAAAGTCTTCCATGCTCTGAAAATATGGATGGCAGTCACTATGTGGCAAATGGCTCATGAAAATACAATTAATTTTTTTTAATGTTATTTTAGAGTTAACTGTGCATTAATAAATATGCAGGATTAGTGTGTGAAGCAACAAGATCACCACGGCTAATGAGACTGTCTCTATCTTGTTCACAGAGAGCCTAATGTAAAGTGGTCCTGATGAAGTGGCAGCTACAAACAACAAAAATAACAAGAATTCTTAATAATATAAATCTGAGCTTTCGAAATCTAGGCTTTACGATGGTTAGCACCCCAATTACACTGTCAGCCACTATTGCTATCAATTCATCTCGCTAAAGAGCAGCAAAGAAGTAACTAGTGTGCACAGCCCTGCAGACGTCGTGCTTTTCACTTCTTTGGCAATGCTCAGTTTCCTGAAGGAAGTTCCTTTGATTTCTTATTTTTCATTAGGATCAGCAGTCGAAAATAAAGAAGTTCATCGTTTCAATATTCTCTTTAATGCCACTATAAATTATTGTTTTAAGCCKGACCCTGTCATAGAAAATGCAGAAGATCTACTCCTTGGCAGAGAGCACCTATCATCTAAACATTTTAAGTACAATTTCACATTTTTTTTTTTATCTAATTGCTTAAAAGAAAAACACACCTATCATAAGCTTTTGCTTCTTCTCAAGTACAAATGTTACTAAAAAGACCCAGAAGTCTCCCCCAAACTAGGGAAGAAGAAAACAGCCAGCCAAAGATAACAATCAAATCAAACAACACCCTGACAGTGCCTGAGTCATTTAAAACTAGACAGGACAAAGCACTTAAGAATGTACCACAAGGAACAACTTGCACTGAGAAGGAGACAAGAGTACACGATTTTGGCCCTGATTCAGCAAAGCTCTTAAGCACATGCTTAAGTGCTTTGCTGAATTGGGGCCACCGAGAGCCCGATTTTCAGAAAAATCAGAAGTGAAACTAATTTTTTCTAGGGAGATAGCACAGCGGATCGGGGATTCGAGTCCTCGTACATGCCTGTGCCTCGGCATKGCATCTGCACTGCCCTTCTTTCGGCCGCTTGCACGATTGGGATGGATTTTATAAACATGACAGCACTTTGACTACTTGTGCTCTTCAGCTCTTTACAGTTTTCAATCCTACAATTACAGAATGATAGAAATTATGGCTCGGAAGGGGTGCGCTCTCTGCATTTTTGTACTCATCTGAACTCTTCTGCAGTCTGTCTGCAAAGGAGATGTCTGCAAAGGAAAATAACATCGCCGCTCCGTTTTGTTTYGTTATGTATGAAGAACCTGGAGGTATTTTTGAGTAAGCACTTTCACGTTTACTCTAAAGGTGCCTCTGAAAGAAAGCAGCACAGTGGTACTCCTCTTCAATGCCAACTGGTTTTTGGGGATAAGCCACAATATTCATTAAACCATATGGTCAGGAGAGAAACGGCTTTCTGACGTGACTGCAAAAATTGCAGTGCAGGTCTATTCATAGCTCAGATCRCAGCACAAATTTCATGAATGCTGCTGTGTGTACAGGGAAAATGTTCTTTTATAAATCAAGTTTAAATAAATATTTATGTGCGATACGACTTCACTGAAATATTTCTGATTCCTCGCCTAATGACAGGTCCTCTACTTGTCAATCCCAGTTACACAGTAACCTTGGGTATTTGTTTGGATGGTTAGATGTTGCTGCCACTATGAATAGAGGTATTTAGCACTGAGGAATCTCCACATAAAAACAACASGAGAAAGAAGGAGATCGTCAATGCCTAGCTTGCCGAGAAGCTCTGTTTAATGCCAATACAAGTTTTAATGTTTCTTCTAACATGAATTTCTTAGGCAATCATGGACACGGAATTATAATTTTTGTTTTTTTTTTCTGAACTCAGAAGCCTTCCCACAAGGAAAGCCCCACGCGCAGGAACACTGTAACACACCGTACATTTGTGAATGCACACTGTAATTCCCGTTATTCCTGAACTGCCGAACTGCTGCAACCAAAGCTACTCAGTTTTGCTCTTCTCTCAGGCTGCAGCAGCTGCTGCTTTTAGCTCTGCAGGGCTCTGGAGCGCCGGTCGAGGGGAGAGCCACGACGTTATCTTGCTGCCTTATTAGTAACCGAGCCAAGCTCCCCGAAGCCTTTCACCAGCACACACGCACACCAGGCTGACACGCTGCTTCTAAAAGGATAATCTTTCATCCAGCTACTCAACCTGCCTGCCCTTAGCCCAATAAAACAAGAAGGAAAAATAAAACCTTCTCTGAACTGCCTTTGATTTGCAACCCCAGTAAGGGTTTACTATTGGGATAGTAGCTACTAATATATGAAATTGCTCCTTTCTTTATGCACATTTCTCCCAGGACACTCGCTTGCCAGTTTACAGGCATTATCAAATGACAGTGCTTCACATCATCTAATGTTATTGCTTAAAATAATTTCCAGTAACTTAACCCAAACTTGTAACGTTTTTACCACTTCCTCTTTGGGGCTTTCAGGGTTGCGGTTGCAAATTGAGGAGTTGTGTAYACTACTGAAGATTAGGAAGGAGGACAAATCCTTTCAAGCTTCATCTCTTCTAACCTTTTGCACTGGACTGCTTTTGGTCACTTTGATCTCGAAGGGATTCATGCTCTTTAATACGTCCTAAGGAACTCTGCCAAACAACACAACTCTGCATTCCTTTGCAGGGGGACAAATAGAARCAACGTAGAAAATCCAGCTCCTTACTGCAAAACTTCTTTCAGAGTTTTTCCAGTGAGGGYCAGTTTTCAAATGTTTAGGCGCTATTTTGAAAGGGATGGAGTAATCTTCACCTCTGACCATGGCACTTGGCTGCTTGGTGAATAGAATTGCACTGAATCAGGTTGATCTGGGTGTGCCTGTAAAATCAGAATTCGTCCTCAAAGCTGATTTATTTTTTTGCAGTAAGTTTAAGTGATTTTCAAAAATGACCAAGAACCACCAATATCTACAGTGCAGAAGAAAAACAGTCAGTTTCAGAAGACATTACTATAACTCACTGGAAAGTAAACATCACCCTGATGACGTCTATGTGCTGACTTGGTTACAAGTCACCCTGCCCTGGGCAGAATTATTCTTYTCTTCTGAACAATATATCATGTACCAAGGAAAGCATTTCATAAAGACAAAAGAGTGCAAATTCGATCTGTTTCTGCAATTATTTTATCAGGGAAAAAAAAAGTCACTATACACCTGGATAAAAAGAAACAACATCACATATAGATACAGTGTGCCTATTTTAAAAGAAAAAACAAATAGACAAAATCAGATGCTGCAATTACAACTYGCAAGCAGAAAAGGCTGATGAGCAGATCACAAGACAGCAGTATCACCCAACCAGATATTTAACAGTACGTTACCTAGCAGGCTAATGCCTAAGCGGGAGAGCCCCTGCCGGAGTCCTTCTCCCAGGTTCTCGGGCAGCTGCCTTCTCCATTCCTCTTGCCTGTTGTAGTGCTCCTCATCCAGGGACAGCCTATCCATATTCCGAGCGAGACTCGTTGCCAGATTGGTAATTGACGTCAGTGTACCTAAATACATGGAGATATACATTTGGGTCCGGACCAGAATGCTTTAATTTAAACCACAAAGATGTTCTGTGCCTCCCTGCAAAACTGTGCTCGCGAGCACAACGGCAAGGCAGTTGACATGTTGCCCACGTGTAACATTCTCGAGCGCGTGCGAAGCATCAGTGACCCTTCCTATGGTGCACGTCATGCCTTTCACATTAGCCTCCACCAGCTTTGCCTGGCCAAGCGGGAAGAACCACCTCGTCCGAACATCCTGCCCCTGCTCCCACATTTCTGCCCCTCTGACCTAGCCGTAACAGGAGGGGATGGAGAGGTAAACAGATATTTACTGCGGGAGCCCCAAGAAGGCTCCGGAGCGGAGGCTGGCCGGGCTGCGAGGCCACACGATGGCACTGTTTAAACAGACTTCGGGAAGCAAAAGCCGCTTGGGCTTTAAATCCAGCTCTGCCCTCCTGTCAAAACCTATCCCTGTACTTACAAAGTTATGACAACTGTATCTACTTTTTAAAAAGGAATAATAAATATGATGAGGCAACGCCGGGTAGAATTTCTGATGGCTAGCAGGAGCACAGAACACCTTGGTAATTGACCATTCCTGAAGTTATTGCATGAAATAGTGGCTGCGCCAATCTCGCTTTCCCAATGGGAGGTTTAAAATTCTGAAGTTTCTGAGACATTCTTGCACGCTGCAGTTAAGCAGTGATCTGTTTAATACATAAGATGTTATGTATGGGCTTTGTTACCCTCCCAGCATTTCCCTGCAAGCTAGCAAGCCAAGCAGAGCTGCAAGCAATTTTGTTTAAAACTTTAACACATCCTTCAACGGCGCACGACAACAAAGCAGCAGTCGGAGTAACACAGTGAGACTCTACCTTTGGAAATGTGCTTTACAAATGACGTTGTTCCTCTGGAAACTCCACTCACAAATGCTCCTGGGCCTCTGGTGAGCCCTTCATATGGGAGCCTAAAGAAATCCGCTATGCCATTCCCTATGCTTCTCACCAGGCTGGCCGGGCTTCCAAGGATTTCCAGAGATCCAACAACCCAGCCTGTGCAGAGAAAGGAGACAAGCGTTACGGCTGCAAAAACTGCAGAAGCAGCAGTTGTGAAAAGGTTATTCCTTAATTCGCTTTTTCACACTAGAATTCATCACATTATGAACTTCCTTTGAGCAAAACACGGGAAATAACTCATCCACTATGAATTCAGAAATGGCAATCTTTCATACTTCGTAAATCAAAGAAATCCTTCTGGCAAACTCACAAATAGCTTTAGAATGACTTCCTTCCAGGAGCTTCCCGTATTTCTGCTAAAAGTGTGCTAGGGAGATGGATGCTGGATCCTAACAGCTAAGGAGAAATAGCCCCGAAAGCTTATCCTGCTCCACGGGCTTTACACACTGGAAGGCAGCGTTGTGATTTCACATCCCTGTGTGATAGAMCCGTGACAGCAGGTTTACACTGATACAACGTGCTGCTTTACAGGAGTGTGGAGGTCAATTGCTTGATGGAGTGTTAGGAAAGGGGATGCAGATTTCTGACAAGTGCTTAAGAAGTTATTTTAAATCCACCCCAACCCTTCTAAGCTGATCATTTTCTTGCGGAGTGTAGCGAACGCCAGGCAAATGTCTTTTTCTCAGTGCAGTTGTGTAAACAGCAATGACATCTACATGCTGATTAGGTTACTCATAGGGGAGTATTCCTTATGCATATCCCAGGAGAGGTATCTGTGGATCTGGTTTCCTATATAAATGCAGGGTTGCCAGCAGCTTGCTGGATGGCCAAGTGCAATCTGCTATAAGGCTTGCTGGAAAGCCGGCTGCAGGTCCTGCCTTTCCCAGGCCGGTTGGCAGCAGATCCTTCCAGGGAAATGGGGCTGCAAACACGTTTTCCTTCGGCCTTCCAGAGACAGTGATTCAGAAATGACAATGAAGATTGAGCAGGACCCGCTTGGTCTCCGAGACCGGTGAATTTCCAGCAGTGCTGCCGGGATGACACGAGGCACGACAGGGACGGGGGCTGCAGGATGGACCGCTCTGCCTCCYGCTCTCCTGCGGCGAGCCCTTGATTTGCATTGCCCTCCTCATTCCCATTCCGTCCCCGCAAACTGCTGCTAGCCAGATGCTCTGCTCGTGCTCTAGTAACCCCTCCCAGTCACTCCCGTGGAAGGCTGAATCATGAAACTGAACAGAGGAGAAAATGTTACTCATATGAAATGAATTAATCTCATACTATCATTCTAAGCTCCCGGAAAATCTATTATTCTTGTCGAATCTGTCCCACATTTCAGCCCTGGCAGGTTGCGAGCKGCAGTACATGTGGCATAAAAGGCGGGAATCGCAGCGGACATGAGGGAGAGGGTGGGACGGAGCCGGAGAACAAGGAAGCAGYGCCACTGGCGGCTCCATGCTCCGGCCCCAAGGAATGTCCTGCTGGCCGGGCGCTCCAACGGGGACCGGAGGAGGCCGGCGCGCGGGGCCGGGCCTGCTGCTCCCTCGCTGCAGGGTTTTTAACAAATTGCACTTGCCACTGTGTGAAGTGATGAAAAGCCGGAGGGGCTGGCAGGCGTGCGCCGAGGGAGGAGATGCTATTTCTGCTCTTCCTGATCAATAATGTTGCAATCGCTGCTTGCAACCTGCCACGTTCTTGTGTTTTTTTAATGCTCTTGGAGTTCTTGAAGTAGCTGCTTCTCTCTCCAAGAGGCCGTGGCCAAAGTGAGGCCCTGCTGCTGAGGAAGACGGGATGGCGGCGCCTGAGAAGTCACCAGCCCCAATGGAGCTGGGGCCTGTGTGAGGGGTTGGAAAGGGCTGCAGCTCCAGAGAGGCTGGAAAGGGCTGCACCTGGGGAGGGATTGGATAGGGTTGCACCTCATGAGGAGTTGGATAGGGCTGCGTATGGTAGGTGTTGGAAAGGGCTGCACCTCACGAGGAGTTGGGCTGCATCTTGTGAGCGACTGGTAGGGCTGCACATTGTGAGGGGTTGGAAGGAGGTGCACATCAGGAGCATTTGGATAGGGCTGCCCCTCATGAGGAGGTGGATAAGACTGCATCTTGTGAGGGGTTGGATAGGGCTGCCCCTCAGGAGGAGGTGGATAGGGCTGCAGCTCACGAGGGGTTAACGTGTTGCAGCCCTTTCCCACTGACCGCAGGCTTGCCTGGCCTAGGCTGGAAAGTGTGGGAGTTAAGTCGGGAATAGGAAAATGATGACACAGGAGCCATCCCTCAGTTCACCAGCTCTCTGCTGCATTTGACTTTGCCTAGCTGCAACATCATGTTAGAGTAATTTTTCCCGCAGTATGCTAACCCACGAATTATGAAAGAATGGTAACTGTATTAGCAAAGAACCACTGTATTTTCTTTTATAGGCAACTATAGGTGCTAGATCTGGCTAATACCAATAATGTTTTAAGTATAATTTTATTAACTTTTAAATAGAAGCCAACTTAATTGGAAAAGGATGGGAGATTTCCATTGCAGGTTTGGCTAATCAGTGCACTGGAGCTCTCCAGCCGCATTCATTGCTCACCAGGCAGGAATCTGGCCACTTTGTTGGGGCATACGGGGAGACAAAACTATTGGGGAGGTCTGGGGGTAAATCCTGCCCTTTTCCACAGCACAGCAATGGGCTGGCACATAGCTCAAGGCAAAACTGCACCGGAGCTTGCAGTGAGTGCAGGGCATCAAGGTACAGGAATGCCATTTGTGAAAATGCTACGTGATCCATGCATGGGACAGGAGCAGGCAGAAGAGACGCTCACCTTGCAGCAGATTAACAGGGTTTAAGTACATGACAGTGACCTCTCTTCCACAAGAGCCCATCCCAGAGGTGCAACTCATCTGACTGGGCTGTACAGTGGGTTTGCAGACCACACAAAAGTTTTTGCATGAGATTTTCCTCCTTCCTAACTTTGTTGACACCATCAGCTTTTCAACAAGTGTCACAAATGCTTCAAAATCAAGCAGGTTCTTTGTCTGCCCAAGCAAACACTATTATACAAAAGTCACCATTTTAACCACAAAAATTCTTTTCAAAAAACCCACTTTAGTTCTATTGCTGTGACTGAGATTTAATTAATAGCTGCATATATGCCTGTGTGCTTTCCTGAAAAGAATGTTTCTTTTGCAGCAAACCTTATTTCTGAATATTTAAATCTCCTAGATCTCAGCTTTGTCGTGAGCCCACAGCCAGTGGCTGCTGCGCTCTGCAAGAGCAGCACAGAGGGAAAAGCAGTATCAGGCTCAGGAGTCTGAGCCCAGCATATGTGYTTCACCTGGGATGCTGCAGATGAAAAGCCAATATAACCCCAATTTCCTGCTGCAGTCTATCACCGCTCAYATCACCTCTCCCATCCAGTTGTGGGGAGGTAAGTTCACACTGCGGACCACAATTGGCCACGGTTTCACTCTTGATTAGCAAGAAACTGGATCTCCCCTTTTGTACTATGGGATTTGACTGTAAAACAAATCCAATCAAKCAGTAAAAAAGAAAAAGCTGCAATTTTTGCAGACAACTTACATGTGAAAATAACGAATGAGCCTACAGCATTATGGTGCACAAGTGTGTATGCAGYCACTAGAATCAGGTATATACAGAGTGAGAAAACAGACCAGGATCTGACTGTATTTATAAATACCTGAAACGCCTGTGTACAATTCTCCTAATTGTGCACAGAAACCAGGTGACAGCTATGCATGCAGCACAAATGGAAACGTCAGATTTCAGAAAACCTGACCATCAGTACACAGGAAAATAAATCCAGTGTTGCAATATGGAGTACATTACTTGCACGTGATCTTGGAGGAGCTTTCTCCTCCCTCAGGTACAAATTCCTTTGCACATCAAGATACAGCAGAGACCATTTTTTTTTATTATTTATAAGTTAATATTTATGGGAAACAGAATGTACCTGCTGGCCTAASAGACTAATTGCTCACTATTGATCCTATTTGGGAAAATGTTAGAAACAGCAAACTTCATAGGTCTTGGATCAAAGGACAACAAACATCTGGGTGCCAGTTTAGCATGAAGGCTSTATGAAGAAAGACAGATTCCTAATCATAAACTGCAGCCAAAAGGGGTTTTAACAACAAAACAACATTCAGGGCTATAATTTACTTCTGAATGCAGAGCAACATCGTGAATAATTTGATTAAGTGTAGTTTTGGGGAGTTTATGTGAGGAATGTGGGTTGATTCGGRCTAGTGCTATAATCTAAAATGACAAAAACTAAGCCAGTTAGAATCTACAGCTAGAAGTTTTTATGCTTTGTTCAGGGTTTAGAAAAGTCTTCAGGCGGCTGGTTAATGTTTACCACAACTTTACAAATCTTCACTGGCGTCTGCTCTGCCATTTTATTTCCCTTCTGTTATATGGCAGGACATGAAATGTGTCTCAGAATATCGTATTGTTATCGGAAAGTGTCTGAGGAAAACAGAAATCGCATGGCTAATGTCTAGATTATTCAGTTGGGGAAACAATTACTAAATCCTGGTACCTAATAAAAATGTTACAGGTTAAGAAGACGGACTGACCTGCTCGGAAGAGTGCTCCAGCAGCATAATGCATGGCCAAGGCATGGATGAGTTGTCTGGCAGTGGTGAAGATGGGTCCTCGCTCGAACACAGAGAAGGACAGAGGAGTGTGATCCGAGGCTATATACAGTTTTAACGAAGCATGAATGCTGACGAGGAGATTAACAGGTTGTATCGTTAATTTTCTTAATTTCACTGGCCTGACTAAAGCTCTTGCATGTTCTCTCACTTGTTTGGGCAGGATAAGCATAGCATCCGCAGTATTTGTGGGCTGACAAATGGCTTTGTTTTTAGGAAGATACGTATCAAACAAAGTCTTAATGTAGTAAACAAAGGTGTCTTCCACATACAGCCTAGCTGGTTTGAGCTCAAAGCTGAGGTCGTTAATGTGAAACATGAATTTYTCTTCCTTGGACAAAGCAATGCAGAGTTTTATAAAGCAGTTTTCCTTATAGTTTTCCAAATCCTTGTTAGACGCAATGAGGTTGCTCACTCTAGACCACTGCATGGTCTCGTTTTTCTCTCCTTGGCAAAGCAGGACTGCAAAATGGAAATTGGATTTGTTGTACAGCTGATTGTCCAGTTGCAGATCTTCACAATACAGTTGGAGACTATAAAGCTGTGGGAGGCCCTCCACGGCCTCCCTTTGGAGCTCGTGCGTCAGCGGTTTCAGGTAGCTGGCTCCTGGGGCCAGGTGGAGGAAAACRTTGTCTGCCGTGAGGCGCAGAAGTTCTGAGGACACTTTGTGATTTGTGATATCATCACACACAGCAAGACTCAACTGATTGACGAACATTTTCAATAAAAGGGTCTGCTCTTGGTTTCTACAGAGGAGGAAAACAGACTGTTATCTTACCCATTCTGGGTTCAGAGACTGTTACCTTACCCATTCTGGGTTCACCTGGCATCTTGTTTTCTCACGAAGCAACCAGGAGACATGTTCACTCTAATACTTGGGAAACTCCATGTGCAAGTAATGGGAACTGGCAGGCTAAATCAGCACAGCAAAGCATGTACCACCCAGGAGGTCCTCTCAGAAATGGAATACTGCAGATCTGTGCCAGCTTTCTCTCTTATCAATCAACAAGATAGGTTGGRCAGGAACGTCTCCATATCCACAGTAATTCCTCATTATATTTGAAACATAGCAGGATATTAAAGCAGGCAACAAATAAAATTTCCTGATAATTCAAGAGCAGCCTCAGCTGTTTCAGTATTTTCTTGGAGCCACTACTGAAGGTTACTATTACGGATAATTCATTGCACATTATGGAAGCAAAATGCCCTCCAACTAAACCACCACTGCATTTTTATAATGATGGTATTGAGGCCCCCCCCCTCCCCAGTGTTAACTGCTCTTGGCCAAGTTTAACTAGCAAGTGGGCTATTATGTACTGCTGATGACCAATTTCTCAGGGATTAATACTTAATTATAGCTCAAATAAAAACAGTCCAACACACATTCCACTCTAATTGTAACRCCACTGCTGGAGGCCAGACATTCTGTGCGTTAAAAATAGGTAGTGTTATAATCACACTTGAATGGAGCAGAGTGCCCRGCTGTGGGGAACTACAGACATGGGTTAAGAGTCTCCTAACGAACAACGATGCAAAAATAATCAAGTACACGGTTAATTACTGAGTGTAAGGCTGTTTCTACACCCCTTGCACATCAAGCTTTCTACCAGTTTTCACGGGAGCATTTATGATTAAGGATGGCAGGATCTGCAGAAATATAKTTTAAATTTATGAACACACTCAGAATTAATTAGGATGGAAAATATGTTTCTTCAGTGAAGTCCTGGGATTTTCATTGTATCAAACACACAGTATTTACCCTAAAGTGACATCATCTTTGATGACAGTTTTTTTTCTTTTTTTAGAGGAAAGATTTGAGATACACAAAATGAAACGTGGCCTAAAGAGATGTTACAGAGGATGCAGCAGCATTAAACCAAACAAGTAGTTAAGCCCATATTTGTAAGTCGGCTCACACTTAGAAAGCTGAATTTCAGGACAATTTGGCATTTCTTTTAACAATTCTTTTATGTGCTTCACATACCTGTTGAGATTGATCTCAATGGGTCCTGCTCTTCCTTCTGGGGCCAAGGTTATTATTATTGTTCCACACTGATGGGCAATGTCCACATAAACATAGCCAAAGCCAGTTAAGAACACGATCTAGAGGAGAAAGGAAGAAAGAGGTAGAATGCTGCAGAAATTACTCCTTTTTAATCTGTTACAATTTGAATTAATCCTACTAATGCCTTCCGGTTGGGATCGTCTTACTCAAATCATTATTGGAGTATTTGTTTAGCAAAAGGAGGAAAAGGTTTCAGTTCTTCAGAAAATACTAGCTCTGGTATTTTAAGTATTTCAGCTGCAGAGCAGGATGAAATTTGCCCCTCATCCTTTAGCTATATGACTAAATACGACTAAATACGTTTTAATAAGAATTATCTCCTCCRGCATTGAACAAGATACTCGGGAAAAAAAATTAGATGAGAAAATAATAAATAGAAAAAAATGTTTTATGAGATTGAACTAAAGAAAAATGGACATTCCTGGAGATGTGCAAAATCCCACCTTCTTCTCTRCAAAAAAAAAGGAGGAAAAAAAAGAAAAAAAAGTGATATTGCTATGCCCTAGCTCAGAGATGGTTAGATTAATGGCTGATAGCATGATAGAAAACATGACAATAAATTAGAATATAAATTTTAGCTGAACAAAGGGTATAGGGGTTTTGGACCTTAATTATGCAAAATTTCCATAGGAGTCTTGTGTTCTTCTACGGTATAAGAGATTGGGGCTGTATTTGGGTTTGGAAAAATTGGAGCAATCCTTGTTAGCTTGATGACAACAGGACAAGCTGGCTTTGTTTCCTTCTAGTCTGACCATTAGCAACATAGTTTACCAGACTGTAAGGGCAGAAGCTGTCATTTAAAAGAAGGCAAGCTAAGAGAGTAATGCAAAGATAYTGGGCTAGAACAGGTGAAACAAACAGTTGTTTTTCTTGGAGAATCTTCCCTGCTGTTAACAAGTCACCAGAAAGAAAAGTAGTTGGTAATCTGGTTATGCTATTTGTGATAATATTGTACAAATAATTACAACTAGTTCAACAAATTGTGTCTTATTTTTCTCAGAATTACCTATAAAAATGCCTGATTTAAGTATGTCAATGTTACTCCTCAAATTATTCTGCTGATGGACAGTAGAGTTAAATAAGGCAAGTTTCTCGCCAAGAGAATACCAAGTACTTATTGGTGACTATGTAGGCACAAAATGAGTTATTTAAAATCCCAGTTATTTCACAATCTGAATTGAGCTGCACATGAAGAAGTCAAAGCTAAAGTTATTAGCAATTTCATTACTTATTTCAAGTATTTATAGTTTTCTGAGAAAAAGACCGAGAAATCCTTGGGAAATTCTCTACATGTAAACCCTAAAACTTCAATAACAAAACGTTACAATTTTTATTTGGCTTCAAGTAGACAACGATCCCCAAATGTTGTCTTAGCATCTAATTCCTTCTAGGAGCCAGATACTTACAAAGAACCCTGGTCTGGCATAACATTAATGACTGAAATTTGAAACCTTGCATTGCTTGACTTGCTTGCTGAATGAAACTGAACTACTTGCTATATAACATAACACTCAATAATCAAGAGCATTTTGTGATTGGTCCCCAGGGAAAACATCTGAAACTAGTAATTCTTTCAAAGAGCCAAGCAGTTTATGTTGATTCCATGTAAACTAATGACTTCAAAGATGGAAAAAATTCTGATCAAAAAGAATTACTCCAGTCAAGGAAGTTTTCATTTAYCCCCAAACAGGAGAAAAATAACAGAAAGAAAGAAATGTTTTTGCTGTTGTTGTTTATTTGCTTGTTTCATTTTATAAAGACACATTTAGCTTCTGCGAAGACAGAGGGAGAATGACAGTGATGATTCCTACAAGATGTGAAGAAAAAAAAAAAMTCTGGGATAATGAAGTTACCAACTGGAAGGATTTTGTTGGACCTTGTGGGATTCCAGCAGCCAGAAATTTTCAAGACTAGCTTTTCCTAGGGAGCTATTTGGCCTTGCCAGGTTGATCAAAAGGAATGAAAAACTCCAGCAGTAGAAACTGTGCATTTTTGATCTGATTTTTTTCAAAAATCACCCACTGAAAGAAGATAATCAGTAATCTAAAACTTCAATAGAAAGCGGCTTAGGAAGACTTAATTGATTAAAAAATATATATATAAATACAGAGGATATGCACACAGCAGAGAAGCAGCATACTGTGCAGATTCAGAAGACAGCCATTTAAGTTGTTAACTAAGGAACAGTTTATAATGATTTACCTGTGTTCCTTGATTATTTATGTCCACAAAATCACTCCATTCATTTACGAATTCATCGGATGGTACCACTTTCAGAAGAATGCTGGGTAACAAATCTCTGGTTTTGCAATCTGGATAGCTGGAGACTTGATGGTAAAGTTCATGATGAACTGAACATTCAGCTGGAATCTTTCTACAGTAAACTTCAAACTTTGGTGTATCTGAAATATAAAATGCATAAGATTAGGTCTTTTTGAATATCTGTATTAAATCAAAACTCTCCTATGCTTACACAAACTAGGAAGTTTCTAAATACTCTGTCTGAAATATCACTACTAATTAAATGTATTATTTTTCTATTGAGTGAAATTTTATGTTTTTTTTTTCTTTTTCCTTTTCTTTTATTTCCCTCATTACGATTAATATAAACAGCTTTCCACTGGTCATTATAATAATGTACTGTGACTGGATTTTTTACAATATGTTTTGTGTTATATTTGCCAACCTAAGGAAATTTAAATGTTCCATGGGATTGAACTCATGTCAATAAAARTCCACTGTCTGCCAGTTTCCTATGGCCAAGGCACTTGATTCCCCCACAGCTTGGATGGAGGGGACACAAAAGCCTGAAGCCACCTGAGCTTCATGGTTAGCTTCAATAGCTCCTGGGAATCAAGAACTTCCAGAGTCCCTTGTTTTGAGAAGACCTCAAGGAGGATGTGCAGTTCTTGTTCCACCCGCAGCACATATTGAACTGAACTTTATGCTGAACATGGAGTAAAACCATTTGCAGCACAACAGTACATTGTTTCTTATTACTGCCTACTACATACCTTTGAAGTTCTCTTTTATAAGCAACGAAACGGGGCACTTGTTGTGGATGATTATACGAGGACTAGGGTCTTCTGTAAGTGTTAGGTATGTCACGCCAAGATGTTCTTGATAAGTCAGTGCTATAGCTCTAAAACAGAATGAGATAGATTTGGCTAAGTAATTTTGGGGATGAAATTCATATGTATTATTACATAGGGCAACCAAACCATTCAAACCCAACATCTGTGAGATTCTTTATTCTTTATGATCAGACTTCAATTTTACAGATACTTAAACACCTTAAGACAAACTGCATTTAAACAGAAGAGCACATGGAAATAGCAAGAAAGGCAACACAGAGAAGAAATCACTTCATAGAGACTACTCATGAGTTAAATTAAGCACGTGTGCCTGCAAGATGAGAGCTCAGGCCAGCACAGATTTATATTAAATTAAAAACATGAGATTGTAGGCCCAAATTTTCAACATAAATCTTTAAAATTTTCCAGAAGAATTTGCACGCATACTTCTCTGGTACACATGCAAGTTATTTTTAACAAATACATAAATCTGTTACTGCCTACTCCCCTGAAATGATCCACAATGCTATCACCCTTTCAAATGTTAATGTTTTGGATCATCACTACATAAATTTTCAAAATGAAGATCAGTTAATTTTGTTCTGCTCATTAGCTACTTAGATGTATAATATCTTCATGTATAAACAAAAAAAATCTTTTGCATGTGCAGATTTATGAGTTATTTCTAAAAATCTTCAGTTACAGATGATTTTTAAAATACAAAAAATCTGAAAATCTGATTAGGATCCTGAGATCACTTATAGCTCTCTGAGAGTCATAAGGAATTCTTTCCTCCTTCTTCACATATTTGYGGCATTTTGGTATTGGAAATCTGCGTGGGAATCTTTACTGTCCACAAAGACACCTCTTAGATTCTGCAGGGGAACAGTATGAGGGATTGAATGATATAAAGTATTTCAGGCAAGAGAAAGACCATATGGCTGATAATTTATACTGATGAAGCTTCACTAATTTCAGCAGACTGTTTCCTTGCTTACACCACTAAAAGCCTGAATAGATTCAGATATCAGCTCTGAGAATTGAAGTTGAGCATCTGACAAGTCATTGGACTTGTATTCTTAACTAGTTGGATGCATTTGTTTGGAAGCGAAATGCACATTTGGATATCRCAGGCTTTAAAACTTGGAAATCCTTTCTTGTCATAGTTTCAAAATAGTTTCTCCCTTGCATTGCTTTTTCCTGTTTTTGTCATACTTGCCTTGCTAAAATATATTTTTATCTTTTATAAACAAAACTATATTTTTGTACTGTATTATTTCACGCTGCCCTTGAACTCTTAAAGTGTTTGATACAAATTAAGAGAGACCATAATCTTGAACACAAACTTTTAATTCCCTTGATTTGCATGTATACATAGGAGCCCAACTACTATAAAAATCATACAACTTGTACATGATCATAACATTAAACCATTTATAATAAAAGCATCAAACCCATCAAAAGACAACAATTTTTAAATTAAAATAAGACTTGCCTTTACATATGGGGGGCATGTGTTACTCTAGCGTTTGCTTTAAACTCCTAGGGTTTGTTACTAGCTGAGGCTTTGCAGCAGCAATCAAAACTCAGTATTCGAGACAGTTCAGCACACGGTACCTGGTACAAAATCCACTTTCATTACAGCCCCCTATGGGCACTGCCACGCTCTGCCGAGGGAACTCCTGCTTAATCAGGGCTGGCAGGCTCCAGAGCTCCGGCCGGCCGGCACAGCCMCCCGGGCTGAAGCTGAGCAGGATGTGCTTTTGGGAAGGGGATGCTCCTGAAGTCAGGGGACCGAGGTCCGACACGAGGTCCCAGCAYGGAATGGAGCTGAGCGTTTCGCTGCCTGGTGCCCCAGCTGCACCCACGCTGAACACGGCGCCGTCCGGCAGGCGGACCAGCTGCCAAGGAAAAAGAGGGGAGCAGAAAAACATGCTRGGTCACAACAAGAAGTTTAATCCTGTTTGCCTTTCACATGAGCTGCTTAAAGTAGTCAGTTAACCACAACTAACTGAAAGTTGCAATGAGGGCATATGCACTAAAGAGTTATTCAGCCAAATTCTGTCTTCAGGTAGACGCATGCAGTTAACCGAACCCAGCTAACTACAGTCCTCTCTCTGTTGCACAGAATGACTCTGCCAAAAGGAACTGAGTTATATCACTGTAAAATAACTTTGAGAAGAATCTCCATTTGCAGATAATAAAATGAAGACTGATTTTAGCATGAAAATGATTCCAATTCCTCAAAAATTCCTCTAAGACTGCACAAAATGTGTAATGCACAAATGGAGATGCTGATGTGAAGGAAACTCATGCAGAAATAAAAGTACAAAAATAGGGAATTTTGAAATTATGTTTATCTGCCAACTCTCCCAGAGAGAATTCTCAGATCCAACAACTTGGTCTCTGAGAATTCTTTCCACATATCTGATAATAAATATAATCTTCAATAAATACATATAAATGGACGATTAAAATATGTTGAGCATGCATACATATTGGTTACTGTAAGTTAGTCCTTGAGTATACTGTGTTGTTATTAGAAAACTGATATTGACGATTTGATGCAGTTCCCTGAAATACATAAATTTTGGGCACGTCTCTAGTTCTGCAGCTTTGTTCAGATAACTGGAATCTTCCCAAAAGGATAACAGAAACATCTCAGGCTGGCAGGCCAAAATACCTCTTTTACATGCAAACTCAGTAAAAATTCTCAGAAGAATTTCAGCAGTTACTACGGATTACGCTGCTTATTTTACAGAACTGGTCTGAACAGATGGAGAACAGGCAGAACTAATTCTGCAGTGTATAAGAATCTCCTGTTTTGCACACATTTCTGATCACAGTTAATTACAGGGGATGAATTTGCCCAGGTTTGTGTATTTTATATTAAAATAATATAAAATAATTTAGCATTTTTATGTAATATTATTATTTCTGTGGAAGTTAAACCACATGCAAATGAGACTTCACAAATCTAAATACTTATTAAAGCAGAGGACAAAGGAAGACAATATCCACAACACATTACCTCTTCTCCTGAGTGGGATTTGGAAATAGAAAGCTGTGGTCTGTAATAGATTTGATAGGATGTATCATTGATGATTGTTGTCTTGTCTTCTATTTGCAGAATTTGTATACCTTGTTGGACCATAGAGGAAATGCAGAACTGACACAACTGTAAGATAATAATGATGACATCACACATAAAAATAGAAAAGTTATTGTAACATAGTGACAGAACTGGCGTTTCCTTAATAGTGGAAATCCTGTCTATATTTATGCCCTTTCTAACTGGAGCCACATCATGTCCTTTCAAGTTGTATCTGTCAATGGTTGCCAGGCAAACTTGAGAAGTCATTAATTTGTCCTTAAAGGAATTTTGGTATTTTTTGGATGAGCTGGACTGAATGTTTCTGACGATGTAATTCTTTCTATAATTCTTGGTACACTATACATCTTTTTACTATGTTTTAGATGAATTACTATGTTCATKAAGGAGGTTGCATATACTTCATTGTTTTCATCTGTTGTATGCTTTTTTTTTAATTAAGAAAGCTCTAAGTAATGGTAATTTCCTCCATACCTTTTGATGACCTGGAAAAGCACCAAGTTTTATTTCAGCTTCAACAAAACCTTCTTCATCCAACGTTACCACTTCCCCAGTGTCGACATCCTTCCATTTTGGGGAGGTCACATTATGGACTAGTTTGATTGCCACTGATTTGTGAACAGTATTAGTGTTTGCCCAGTATATTCCAATTTGAAAAGCTTCCTGTATGTGAAAAATGACCAGTTATTGCACAATGATATTTTTATATCAGTTAAATACAGTTTCCAGTATGCAGCCAATTGTATTTCCTGCCTTTCTGCCTCTATACTCTTTCTTTATAGTAGAAGGGTGGTGGAACAGCAATGTGGATACGAGGCTGGACTTCAATGTGGGATCAAGACTGTAGGCTCTACTGAGACACGTGAAAAGACAGATCTTTTGTTTATTAATGGCCATAAAGGTAAAAACAAAACAAAATAAAAAAAGCAGGAAGTATCAGATTGTTCAACTGGAATTGACAAGCTAAATTATATAATTATTTTGAAATAAAGAATGTTTTGGTTGTAATAAAAGCACTTGGGTGCCCAAGCCAGGGTATGCGAGAAGTTCAATTAAACAACACTGTAAATTSAAGAGCAAGGCAAACATCCTAAAACATCAATTCACCCTATCTTGTTATCAAACCTTTCTTGGCAGCATAGGAGCTATGAAGCAGCTCAACCTAAAAGACCCTCAAAACACATATTCCTCCCAGGCTGACAGCTTTGCCTTGAAGGTTGACTCAAACCTTGCTGTTTATGCTGTTGCTGCTCACCATGCCAGTGTGCACGGGGTTACACTGCTCAACCAGTGGTGGTAAATGTCAACTGTTATTTCTACACCTAACTGTACGGCTAACAGACACAGGCAGGGATCATCTAGATTAATCATCATCCTTCAGAATGAGGATATTGTGCAAAACTGTTTATTAATTTCAATAACAAAGTTACCTCAAAGTTGGGAGGTATAATTACTTTCCCAGTGGGTATCTGAAGAACTATCTTCTCTCCCTCGAACAGCCAGAGATCCCACTTGGACTGATTGATGAGCAAAGCCCAGGGCAGCAGTTCTATGAGCAGCGTTTTCACACATGGTTTCCACACGGAGAGCTTCACCCGCATCGGGCTGTCCCACTGCGAGAGCTGCTCGCTGCTGCTCAAAACCAACCAAAGCAATTAGGTAAAGAAATACGGAATTCAAGATAAGAACAATACGCCATAATTTAAAGAAAGCTGCAAAGTTCTGTTTTTCTTCTTCAAAAAAGAAATCTCCTCTTATCATTCTGGAACATACTGAGATGCTGTCAGCCAGATCTAGCTGTACGTAGGCTATACAGTCATATTTTAAACTGGATAAGATCAACATATAAATCGGCCAAGAAAAGAAACACTTTAACAAGAGAATTTCCTTTGTCCTTCAAAACTAAACCCTTTTGACTTTTGTAATAAAATTACATTTCCCTATTTTTTAAAGCAACTCCTTCTGCCCTGTTGCAGTGCTAAAATAAGCAGCTTTTATAGCTGTAAAGAAAGTGCATTCACAAAAAAAAAACCCACTAGCTCCTTTTCCTTAATCCTTGGGCTGATGCAATCTTCTCAGTGTAATTGTGGGTAGTTCCTCAGCCAACCAATTTTTTCTTGCCTGAAAGATTCTGCAGTTTACATACAGGAGTCRTGTAATTACTGAGAACATATTCAAATTCAAACATATTCAACAGTCTTCTTGAACTTCATTTCACAAAGTCACTATACAGACATGCAAAAAAAAAGCTCTTGATAACAAAAAGATATATATAAATTGTGTTTCTGAGACTCTCCTTAATGAGTGAGGTTTGGATTTTGTTTTTGGACCTTCACAAGGCAAAAGTACAACCATAAAGTTTCAAAACTGATCAACGCTATAGCTAGCTTGGAAAATACTGTTGTCTAAAATGCATTTGTGGTAGTCTAACAAAAAGTATAGTATGTTAATATTGAGCTTCTAAGAAACTTGCACTATACAGTGAAATACAAAATGTAGAACTTGTCGAGAACTTTAAACAATGTACATAGCTTTAACAGGTCACATTATAGAACTATTTCTTTTATTACTGAGATTATTTTTATTTAACAAGGAATCTAGTTCAAGCTCTGATATATATGCCAGTGATCTACATCTATAAAGGATGTAAGTTAACCTATTAGTGTGAGTGTATGCAAGGTCTTTGTTATGGAAAGTAGTTTACCTGCTTGGAGTTTAGTGTTTTTGCTTGGCAGGGTGAGGACTCAAACCACAAGAGGTTACCGAACATTCCAGTTTTGAAAATTAATTAAAAAGCTTTTATAGTATAGTAGTATAGCCTTATATAGTAAAGCCTAATCTATCAGTTTCATGAGGATAAAGAAAATAACCTAAAAATGGGTCAGATTAAAGATTCATCCAGCTCTGTATTCTGACCTGATATTGGTTATTAATAGGTATTTATGAACRTGGAGGAAAGGCAGCAGGTATATAGTGCTATTCTGCCAGAACATGCCCTCTGTTTCCTGGAATTAGTGAATGAAGAACGAACTTAYACCATTAAGCAAAACTGGTGTGTATGATGACCAGATGGAAAGTGGTGTTAGCTGCCTAGATGCTTTACTTCCACCAACAACCATACATTTTAACAGACTTATTTGAAAAGTCAATGCAGCAGTCATGGAGAGGGCTTAGCAAAGAATTACCTGTCCGAATCCTTCCTATTATATGGCCACGTGGGCTGCGGAGGGCTGGCGGCCCCATAGAACTCGCTCAGGATGTGGTTTGCAGAGCCACCCGGGTGGGATTTCGTGGCAATCTGTTTTATAAGTGCAGTTGAGATGGGCACTGCGCACTCTGATGGGTCGTCTTCTTCCCTGTCGTTGTAAACAGACACAGTTGTTTGCAGAACAAGGGCACCCAAAGCAACGCCACCTTTTTTTAATGTACCTTTCCAAAAGTAGTCGCAACTGGAATACTCCCAAGGTAATGAAGCATGAATCAAGTTATGGTGTCTAAAAAGTTACTAAACATCTGCTCACATGAATTAATGAACCCACTGCAAAGATCTTTGTGTTGGAATCCCAAGAAACTGAAGAAACTCACCCCTCCCATCTCCCCCCCAAAAAAATCCAGTTCAAGAGACTTCAGAGATTTACTTTTCAAAACACAAAAATATGTACGGTTTAAGCAAAAAATATGACAACACTTAGGATACTTATACCAAGTTTAATATTTCTTGACACATAATTTCAGGCCACATATATTGTTCTCTTGCATCTCCTCTGCATACACAGTATCCTTAGAAATATTACATCAGAAGTTGAGGTGCAAATACTTATTTTTTTTTCTCTATGCAAACAGACCATTTTCAGGGGAAGTGGACATTATACCTGGCTTGAAACGTCAGGTGGTGGGTAAGATCAGGTTCTATATTTTGCAATGGCTTCTCTTGACCTTGCCCTGGAATCACTTGTGTTTCACTCAATCCCAAGCTTCTTTTCTCTAGGTGTATAATAATTGGGTCTGGAAGATGGCTCCTTACAATGAAAAGAGGGCTGAAAACAATCTAGAAGAAGAAGACAATGCACCAATTTAAGGTTAGTTTTATTCTGTGATTCCAATTTAATTCAATATTTACAGCACATTATTCTGTCCTCAGCTTATCACAAGACATGATAAGGTGTCTTATCACCTTAAGGGTGATACACACAAGGGTGTAAGGATTTAGACTTCAGAGAGAATAAAGGTACTTACTATTCGTTGCTGCACTTGAGAGTTGGGCTCTAAAGTCAAAACTGTGCACCATACATAAGTAATTGAGCTCTTTGAAGAGGGTACCTGTATGCAGAGAAATTCCTCTCATTACACTAAGATTATTTCACAGTCATAACGTTCAAGATTACAGCATAACAGGCAGAGCTCGAAACTCACCAACATTTTTACTTTATGCTTTTAATAGCATATTAAAATTTATTTTAATAATAAAATTTCTAGTCATACCTGAATGACAGTGCTGTGTTCTGCATGCTTAGTAGTCAGACATACGTCTTGTGACCAGTCTTCGTCCCCAGGAGCTTTGACACTCAGCTCTGTGAGCTCACTGTTTTCCAGGACGTACGAAGGCAGCTTCTGCTTGGCTGCAAGGCAGTTGATGTGCTCCTTAACAACCGCCTGCCCGTCCTGCCCCATGTAATGCTGAACCACCCTCAGTTCAATGCTTTCACAAAGGTAACTGCAGACTGTCTGTCTTCCACAGATAAGGATCTAAAACACACAAAAATATGCAACTCAGACATAAGCATTTGCAAAAAAAAAGGACAAAAGTGAACTTGAGGAAAAACTTGTACAAGAATAATTACTTTTTTTGGCATTTCATTTTTGTTATGTTTTCCCAGGCATTGCTGAAGGCAGTCAGTGGTGAAATGTTATTTTTGTTGGCCAAATACATGTACAATTTCAGAGAAACCTGGGCAATAAGATGCTTCAAATATTGCTAAGGTACTATTATCTGGGTCTGAAGAAAACATGTAATGTATCTAGTTGAGTTCCCAAGGAGCCCAGCAATGTTGCCTATGGCTGGTGTAGTTGTTTTTTTAAGAGTACTGTAATTCAGTAAAGACAGTGTCTTCTCGGAGCTGATAGAGKGGTGCACTTCAGAAAATGGTTTCCATCCCCCCCTCACCTTCCCATCTCAGTCCTGGCTTCCCAGTCTGCCACTATGCTTGCTGCTTTAAAGCTTACCATGCCATTAAATGGCTGTACTGTACCTCGCTATTTACATCTACCTAGGAAATTGCAGTCTGTAACACATCAGTTATTTCTCCCAGAGCCTAAACTTCTTCTAAGCTATTGTGAGGAACAGTATTCCACAGATATCCTTATTACAGCCGTTTTCATTTGTTATTTACTAACGAGGGCCCAGGCCATGTAGCTACTTCCCTCTGAAGCCAAGTCCCAGCAGGGCTCCCTGTAAAGCCAGAACTACTTGAGCCTGAGCAGCTTTGTCGCTGTGGCACAGCACAGGGCACTGCTATATGCAGGACCTGAGCATGGCATGTCCAGCAGGCCCTCTGGMTTCCACCACCGGGCAGAAAAACGGGAATGTTATTACGGATATCTGTGCAAAGATACCATGGGAAAAGCTATTGCACAGCAGCCTATTTTCATATGTTAATTTGAGTGTTACTTCCCCTTTCAACAATATAAAGGCATGAATTACACACAGAATAAAACACAAACAGTTTCTTTAAGAGAAAATGAACAATTTTACTTCTCAAGGGCATAAAAACCATGCCAGAAATTGTGCGATTTAGCAATGTCAGAACTTATAAGCCAGGACGTTTTATAAAACATGTAAAATATGTGGTGTGACTGAGCTTTTAAATGCTGTGATCCATAACAAAGTAAACTCGAAGAGAAGAGCTGCAAAAATTCCTTAAAATGTCCCCATAAGTCTGTTATTTCCCCTGGCATTTTTTTTTTTGTGGATTCCACTAGAAATGGAAAGAGAGGGTGACTTGCTATTCCTATACGCACACCAGTTTAATTAACTGAGATTTACTCAGATTAAAATGTTTTTCTGCAGACTGGACTAAACCCTTACTTGCTTTTGCACCCCACTGAGCTGCTGAATCTTGATGATGAGCGATGCCGTCCGGCCCTTGTACTGAATGGTTCGAATGAAGGTCCCCGTGTTGTCCACGCTGAAGGGTTCAGACCAACGCCAGTTTCCCCAGCCCTCGATACAGATGTGTAACATCTGGAAAAAAAAGAAATCATTGCTTCAATACATAACTGGGGGGGGAAAAAAAATCTTGCAGTAGGGTAGCAACTCCCATGACAGAGAAATATTTTTGGTTTTAAAAGTCAGCAACTCTAAGCACATCATTTCTACAAATGATTCACTCATTCTGTCATTTCAGATACGAAAGGAAGAAGGAATAATACCACAGGATGGTCCTGCATCGTGCTTTTCTATAAATTACTTGCTTTCACAGCAAGCTTATGGATGATAAGGATCCAGTGTACAACTAACCAAGAATAGGTTATGAAGGCTAGAGAGCATTAGACAGGAAATAAGAGATTTTCTTTACTGCCCTTGAAATGGTTGGAGCTATCCGCCCTCTTAATTGCCAGCAGGCAATATGGAGCACAGGTCCAGGCCATATATTTGGCCTTCAGAACAGGACTGATTACTACAAACTCAGAAGAGAATTCAGAAAAGGATGCAAATCTTGTTTATATAGATCTGTCAGGCTCAAATCTTGTCTATATAGATCTGTAAGGCTCACATATATAGGAGCTACATGATTAAATGCTTAAGAATTGAGTGCATTGTTGAGCTACTGGAAACATTTAATTTCTTCCACAAAAGTAGTGGCAAGTTCAAGCCTGACTGCATGAGAAGAAATTTAACTGCATAATTATACTCCCCGTGTGATTTATTCCGGAAAAGGAGTGGCTTTTTTTTTTTTCCTGTTTAACTTAAATCACTTCCAGAGCAGTAGAGTCTTTCATCATTCGAAGGGTCTTTCATCCGTTTACCCACCATACACACTTATCTCCATCCCATGGAKATTCTTTAAGCCAGGGTAGTGAAAATTGGTACTGTTCCATAGAGGTCAACGAAGTTGCATAAATTTACGCCAGCTGAAGATCTGGCTCTTCAGCTCTATATAGATCTTTTGTGGCTGTGCAAACTTAAGAATGTGAATTATATGGAAGGGATCAAAGCAACAAGCATTCTGGGTGAAGTTTATTCTTTGCAGAGGGCCAGCACAGAATATAAGCATCACTTAAGTCCTTTAAAACCGTTATGTAAAGGCCTGGTGGGAATTCTCTGGTGAGGGTTGAATTTCACTCTGATTTTGGACATGTGTTATTAATTAATTTAAGTAATTGGGAACAGGATCAGGCCCAAAGTACAATTATTTACATGAGTGAAAAATGAAACTTGTAAATATTATGGTCTCCCATGCTTTGTGTTTCCAAAAAGAGCCAGTGGTGTCCATAGAGCTGGCCAGTTGGACTTAGAGAATGTCTGGATTTTGGCTTTTTTTCATAGCTTTAAGAAAYAACCGGAGCAACAACTTTCAAAGATATTACAACTCAGTAGCCTGTTTGCAATTTGTGGTATCTCCTCAGCACAAGTTACACACAGAACCAAAACATCCATTCAGTGGGTGGCTTTTGAATTTGCAGGAGTGATGACTGTTGCATTCAGATACAAATTAGTCTTCTGCTGGAAGCACAAAGGCTAATGTATGCCAGTGTGTGCACGGGCATGTATTTGGATAGGCACATGTGTTTGCATGTGTATGTACATGTTTATATCCAAGAGCATAGGCTGAGGGAAACTATACATTGGTCACTCAAGCTCATAAACAAACTCGTAGCTTTGATTCTTAAGTATTACTTTCAGAAAAGGAAAAACAAAACAAATCCAATTTCAGTGGCTGGAATCCATTCAGTTTCATACAGAGGCAGCTGGGAATGAACCTCATCACGTATGAAAACTCAGAGAAACAAGAAAACTGTTTACTTTGGAGAGACTGGTAGCTGGAAATGACAGCCAAGTAATGAGCAAAGGTAGTAAGTGGTCAGTGTCAGCTCGACGGCACACAAAAYGCAGTGTGCTCCAAGGACAGATGCCATATAAATGCCATAATTGATGATGAGCATCTGCTGGTAGCTCCAGCATCGGGATGTCTCCCACCCTGTATAAACAGCATTGCTCAGGAGCTGAATGTCCCCAAGGAGAACGCTGTCAGCTTTCATGGAGCAGCCATCAGCTCAAAGGTGCTGCCTTAGTCATTTTCTAGGTAAGAAAAGAATGTGTGTGTGTGCATTTAACTTCATGGGTCAGAAAGAAAACATAAAATAAGGGCTAATGCAAGCAATCCCTTGTTTTTTAAACATGCTGTTTGCACACTGGTGAATGCTACATGCAGTAAGGAACAACTYACGTAACTTACTTTAAATATATCTAGTGCATTTGTATCAATGACATATTAATATTGTGAATTGTGTATTGCCTAAGCTTSCTTTTAAGCCAAGAAACTGTAGTCCTGGAAAATACCAGSGGARCTCTGTGTAAAACAGCTACTTGAAKGGTTGTGGGATTGCTGAAAAACGTGACTAGGAATGAYCAGCAAATGGCACTAAGTCATCTATAGATATATGGCAGGAAATAAAAACTATAGTAATTTTAGAAAATTAAGTTATCAGGTATAAACATTATTTTAGCACAAGACATCATAATAGATGGTATTATGTATGCGATATGACAAAGTCCTAATGTTATAAAACTGACCTAGTACTAGAGATTTGAAGTAACTGCTGTCTAGCCCCCTTTCATTTGCCAAGTTTTAAGTAAATGATAAATATTTATTAGAAATTTTGCTTTAAAATAGCACTCGAAATATAGTTAAGTATGCTACATAGAGAAAAAGTATAGGAGAAAAGTCTTTGCAAAAGGCACAAAATCATTAAATGGAGTTCAAAAGCACTGTAACCCATATAATCCAGTGATACCTGGCAATTTATAGTTTAAAGAGAATTTAAAACAGACTTGCTATTGCATATACTAAGAAATGCACTCATTTGTGTAACTACTAGATCTCCAAGGTTTTGTTAGGGCACATATCAATAGTGTGTTTTATTTTTACTAAACTTTGCCGTTTTTTGGATGTTTAGTTCTAGCCACTGTGGATTTAAGTTTGAAAAGGGGATGAAACTGCCTACAAGGTGGCAGAAGAAGATGAAGCTGTTTTCCCTAGAGCAAAAGGTTAGGAGAAGCCTAACCCTCTTTATCCCATCTCTTTGCGGAGTGCTTCTGTGCGCTCCCCAGAATTTACGTGGGTTTCAGCTAGAAGTGGGTGTGAAGGACATGATCTGAGTAAATAAAGCCAAGTGTCGTATGACAAGGCATGAAGATGAAAATGGGGGATTAAAAATGAGCCTAAGAGTGGAGGCCAGAAAAAGTAGCATTTTCCAGCTGTATGAGTAATTTAAAGCTTGTGCTCTCAAAATGTTTTGTAACACAAATCTGCTTTCTGCATTGCTTGTAGATGCATCAGAGCTAACCTGGTTTCCCTGTAATTAAATTCTATCTTTTTGCCAGGTGAAACTAGTAAATGCTTTTTTTTGGGAAGAATGGAGGTAATGGCTCTCAACTCCGAGAGTCTCAAAGGGATCAGGAGGGAACCCAGCTAACAGTATGGGAGAAGACAGTTATTTTGAAGAGAGATGGGCTGGTTAAATCAAAGCTGTGAACATGCAACAGCATGGAGGAAAACGGAGGCCTGGAGATGGGAGCTGAATTTTCAGATTTGAAGCTTACATAAATGTTGTTCAGAAATTAMATCATAGGGTGATTTGTTTTTCATATTTTCAGTTGTATTTTTTATGGCATATAGCTTATTGTGACCCTTGACCAGGTTTAGGATTTACAATAATACAAATAGTATTTGGGAAAACAGTGAGTAAAATGCCCATTCTGCATATTAGCAACTGCAGCAGTTAGCAAAACAATGTGAATTTCCATTTGGCTTGGGCTCCTGTGGGCCCTGGGAGAGCAGAGCGTCCTAGGCCATCGCTGCTCCCCAGACAAACCACCAGCAAGGAAGAGGGGAGAGAACAATTTCCAGCACCGAGAGAACAATTTCCAGCACCACGGCCCTGGACATAGAAACAGGTCCCACTCCGCAGGTCAGCGCTGACCCTTGGGGGCTTTTGGAGGTACTTTGTGTCTCAGAAGAACCTGCAAAGCAGGTCTGAATCCAGCTGGACCCAGCTAGCCCTAAACACTGCAGATGAGAAGAGTCTTTTGGTCAACGCACAGTAACCGGATTAGGAGGAATCATATGCCTCATGGATAATAACAACCCTTATCTGCCCCAAACATTATCTATAAAGTGAATTACATTTGGAATGCAGACCCCTAAAGGAAAGCAAGAGCACATTTCTCACTACTCAGCGTAAAATAACATAGAACTTTTTCTTTTTTTTTTTGCCTAATGTTGCTCTGCAAATGATCTGAGGAGGATTATGTTCAGTACAAGAGGCTGCTCAGAGAATCTGCAACATCCCTAAACAATTAAATAGGAAACTATCCCAATAATGACTGATGTAGAAGTCACAGTTGCTAAGTCTGAACCCACAGAGTACTGTAGATCATTTTGCACTTACCAGGACATAACCCAATACCTGAAAGAACAGCAACTTGGAAATAAATAACAATGAATTATTATCCTAACGGAGATGCAACAGAAGTTAAAATTTGGCTTCAGTACTTTTTTTCCTTAGGAGAATGAAGAGGAGGTTCTTAGAGTTATTTCCAACTCTACAACTGCCTTTAAAAGCACTATTTACAAAATGCTTGCAGAAATTGCACTTGCAAGTCACACTTCAAATCAGGAAAAATTTAAATAGACGGCAGTGCTCAAGTGAAGATATTGCTAGCCTACTAGCCATGACTAATAGCTAGTCAAGAGTTTATAAACATGACTGAAGATCTGATCACTTCTAACTTCAGAGTTTCACCCTATGTATCATATGCTCCAGTTCTCCTTAAAAACACAGCTGTCTTGGAGACAAACATAACTTTTTACATAACTGGGGCCCATCCCACAAAGCAACTTGAAGATCAAGATAAGAAGTGCAAGYTGGATCCAATAAGTACAGGAGTAATGTAGCTTCTCTTTCCTTTTCATGATATCTAACAGACCTCTAATTTTCATTAAAAATCTCAAAAGGAACTCACAAGGTCTGGCAATTTTTGCTAGAATAGCTTAAAGCTTCAAATATCATCAGTTTTGGACTTACCCCAGCTYTGAAAAGGACATATACTTGTGGGTGTCTTATCCCTAAGGAAGGTGAAAAACTCAAGAAATCTGAGAAAAATACCCGGGAAAGAACAGAGTGGAAGAAAGAACCTCAGACTTGCTACTGAAATACTAGCTAAGCTGTTGAGAGTTGCAGGAAACAGCAGAAGTTAAAAGGGCAAGGTTACGTTCCCAGAAATACAGAAGAATTGAGGAAGGAAGGAAGGAAGGAAGGAAGGAAGGAAGGAAGGAAGGAAGGAAGGAAGGAAGGAAGGAAGGAAGGAAGGAAGGAAGGAAGGAAGGANAGGAAGGAAGGAAGGAAGGAAGGAAGGAAGGAAGGAAGGAAGGAAGGAAGGAAGGAAGGAAGGAAGGAAGGAAGGAAGGAAGGAAGGAAGGAAGGATTTTAACTTAAGTCCGAAGGACACTACCAGTGACTGAAGGATAGACACTGAAACCTGGTGTGCTATAACTCCTTTCTTAAAATTAAAAATTTGAACAAATTTTATTTATAGCTTATACTAATTTTGTTAATATTATGAAATTAATTCTAAATGCAAATCAAACATTAGCTATATGTTATGACATAAAATATTTGGGGAGTATTTTAATCTTGTTACATAAATGCAAATGGCCAATCCTACATCTCTCACTATTCTTAATTAGCAAAAGAAAAATGGAGAATTTTATTRATGGGAATGTAAAAGAAATACAATCCTTTTAAAACTATTTATTTTCATTTAACTGAACTGCCTTGCCATACTAAAAAAACATTTTGCAGAGGTTAAATAAAGTATTTCATGGCAACCGCTGCTTCTTAGTGCCTCTGTAACAAGAAACATGAGCCAGTCGAAGTTGTGCAAGTTGGTTTTCATTCCCAGTAAGAGAATGCGGTATCTAAGACCTTGTCCTAACTCATTTTATTCCCAAGTGTGAGTCAAGTAAGTCAAGTATGAACTAATGCCTGGAGGGAAGTCCTTGACTCCAAAAGTATGGATTATTTCACATTTATCTTACAATCTGCTCTCAGAGTTCTTAAAATTCACTAACTTGGCAAGTCAGGAATTATCATGAGAAATGAAATAATTTCATAACTATGAAGTCATCTAGCATTCCATGAATATGACACTTGTAGGGCTTGTCCATGCTTGGGCATTATTTTGACCTTTGGATAACAAGCTGTTAGACAGTTTTGCATGGAAATAATTAGAAAAGTGCCATAGCACAGTAGGTGCAACCTGAAGTCCTAACTGAAGGGGCTGTGACCTGAAGTTTTAACTCAGGAGCTGTTTTCATTTCAAAGATTTGTATTAATCATTATAAAAATTTACACCTGACAATATTTGTAAAAATCAGTAAACAAACTTATTTTGCATGATCTAAAGTGACAAAACATTGTGCTGTTTAGACCACTTAGATAAAACACCTTTCTGAAGCATGCTGTATTTGCAATCATTTGCACTTACCATCAATGTAATGAACAAAACTTATATAGAGATGCCAAGGTGCCCTGACCTTTGTAAAGAAAACTAGCTTCTAGTAGCGTGTGGAAAGCCCACTCTTCCATATATTTTACAGTGAAATTACCTCAATATTCTTTTTTAGTTTCCAAACTTCCTGGCAAGAGATGGCTGTTGAAAAATGTTAAAGCAATCGTAAGTTTGAAACTATTCCAAGGGCTGGGACAAAYGAGGCATCGCCCCCTCCATTAAAAGCAACTGCTGGACAGCAGCGTGTTAAGGCAAGAGGAGGGAGCTCCCAGCTTCACCCTCTCCTGGGACACAAGAATCCAACATGACTCTCTCAAATGTTTCTCAGCCTCATTTTTCAGTGAATCTGAATCTGATCAGATGATACTAGAATGGGGAAACCCTTTGACATCACCAGCTTCAGATGAAGAGTATCTGAAAAATGTGTCTGAASTTCCTGCTGCCACCCGCTCCCTAATGTGTGATACTGTTTTCTTGTGGACTTCTCTTCCTTTCATTCAGCCCTTTTTTTTTTTTTTTTTTTTAAATAATAAGAAACTTAGAGAGCAGCCATCAAAACTGATTCTTCTGCACAGGTCCAGTCTGTGACTTAAAGGACAAACTGGAAATGAACATCTTTGCTGTAAGGTCAGTGGGTGCTGGGTAGCTAACACGGGATGCTGTGCTGGTGGTCTTCAGCYTCTTGGCTGCAAATGACAGAAAGTRTCAGTAAAAGGTCACAATTTTTACTGTCCTTCTACTTTTCCTTTTTGGCTGAGACAATCCTCCTCTTTGCAGCTTAAACTGTTAGCAGAAGCAGCTCGTTATTAGAGCTACACCATTAGAGGGGCTATACTCTAGAAGCCTCTAGACTGACAGCCAAAAAGAGGATTCTCCCCATGTTAAAATTTTATATAAGTAATCATAAAAGGGATAAGAAAAGCTGTTAAGAAGAAAGCCTKTCGTAAGCTCTGTTTTTTATTTACAATTGCTTTAAGCATTTCTTTTCCTATGTTTTTACTAAAAGGTTAAAATGATTTTTAGTGGTGACTGCTACAGAAGCAACACAGCTGGTTATGCAATATTGGCTCCCATTTAGCTCTCTAATACAAGCCTTGTCCTTTCTGCTGTACACGACCAGTCAGAGCAGCTGCAACGAAAAACCAAGCGAGTCTTAACGCCGAGATGGATGGAGATGCTGTCACGAACCCAACACGTGCCCATGGCACAGGCCATGGGGTCCTGTTTGGGCTGCCTGGCTGCAGGCCGGGGTGTCACAGGCATTTTGTGTGATAATAATATGTCTAGTTACCTGACAAGGGATGTACAGCACTCTAGGGTCGCTGGAAGCCCCCAGGCTTCCCCCCTCTCTGGGTTCTTTGGTCACAGCACACACAGTTTTTAACAACTCCTTTGGTGGTGGCCTTGAGCCGGCCCTTTGCCACCCGACTGTCCTGCCTTCCSCTCTGCGTAGGCCTTGACTGCAGTGTCAATCACCACTGTTTACTCTGGCTCCAGATTACCACACTAAGAGAAAATCCAGTAGTTTTGCATCGCCACCGACTGACATGTGAATGAAAAACACGTCGAGTTTGTCCTCTGCTTCCCACTGAAACTTGAAACTTGTCAGCAGTGAACTGGGCACAAATGCTGCTGTTCAGAATTGCTGCCTGAACTTCACCTTCTTTCATGGCATTCCCATGGCTAGCATTTTCCAAGGCTCTAAACGAAACAGGAATCCAACAAGCACTACATTTATCCCCACTTGTTTAAAACAAATAGCACCTAGGAACACTGTTCAGCTAGTAGGGTGGCACAGGTCTCTAGTCTCCCACTCAGCACATTATGTATTAACATATATACTGAAAAGAAAGAAGAAATGGCTTTGCTATCCAACAAAGACTCTCTTAAATTCTTGTCCTATCTTGATTCAAGATGAAAAGTCCATTTCTCATCATCAACAGTAGGCAAGTGGGATTCATTAAAATATTTCTTTTTCTTTTCAGTATTAGTTTTTATCCTTAAAAAATAAAGCAGGAAGCTAGCATCATTTAAACTACATAAATGAGATGTTTCTAACAATTTCAAACCTTTCTTATTCAGAGCTGGGAGATGTGTCCAGTTTGACCGTGTTCTGCAAGCAATTCTAGCAAGCGGATGCTTCTGGTAAAAACAATTCATTAAAAAAATTCCCCAACCCCCTTACGCACATCACAGAAAACAGACACTGATCATTTAGCTTTATAAACCTGGCAAGTGATCTAGTTTTTTTTTTTTTTTTTTTTTTTCCAGAAGCTTCAGTTTCCATGAATGCTTGGTTTTCCACAATGTGGGGGTGCGCGTGCAGTCCTACCCTGTGTAACTCCTAAGCACTTCTGGATTTCCTCACCTCGTGTTTACCTTTGCTTTCTGATGTGGCTGATGAAGGGCCTGAGCCACTGCAGGCAGTTGAGACCGTACCTAAAAMTGAAGAATCAAGGCAAAACCCACGAGCCAGCTCCAGCCACGGCTGCCCTGGAAGGGCTGTTTCTGACATACCTGTGGGGACTTGTGAGAGCGCCAGCTGTACTGGTGACGGTGGAGACTCGCCAGCAAAATGTTTTCATCAGTATCCACCTGGCCAAACCGCAGTGTCTCCTGTGTGTCATTACAGATCACAAAATGGCTGAAGACCAATTCCTCTGCCTCAGGGCACCGGTTCTGAAAGAAAAAAAGAGTACGCAAGCCTGTAAGGATCAGATTAATTGCAAGACATTTGGCAGCTGTCTGCCCAATGGTGACTGTTACAGCACAGAAATGCTTCAAGATCTCCTGTCATTAGCTTCGGTTTCAAAGTATTCTTCTCTCTGCAAAAGCACAAGCTAGCATTTGGGTTGAAAATGGATATCCTCAGAATGTATTTTGATTTCTGCTTCCGTAATGCAAGACATCTAAAGCTAAGGCAAAAATTAGATTTCCTAACTTCTGCAAAAGACTTCAACATGATTAACTTCAATGGGAAATGGTGTGTCGTACAGGGCACAGGGCAGGTGGTTGCTACAGTCCAAACAGACAGGAGCTGAGTGGATTCTCCAAGCTCAGCAACAGATCCCTCAGACCAACAGGCTGCCTGCCCTCTTCCCCAGCTGCTGCTTCTTGTTTGAAATACTGCAGTGCACAAGCAGCAGAAGACTTTCCTAGTACTGCTACACTAAAAAAAAAAAAAAAAGGAAAACAAAGGTGGACACATGGGATGAGTATTTTGCAGTTCCACAAGGCTAATTTGAAAACGTGTCATAAAATCTAATAATCCAATATGAAAAATTGAAAACTGACAGAATTTTGAAGTATTTCAGACTTTAAGATGTGTTTTCCTCTGCCTGCAGCCTCCATTCATCTGTCTCTTTACACATTTCATTGGGCTGCCTGGCACTTTGRTGAGACAGTGTGACAATATGGTAGTCCCTAAAAGCTACCAGAGCCACACATAGGTCTTTCTTCCATCCCTGAAGACACAGACTCTAATGTCTACACCAGRGAGGTCACAGTGTGATCTCTTCTCCATACAGAAGAGGACATCTCCTCTCCAATGTTTTTGCCTTAGTCACAACCGGGCTGGCATYGTCACCCAGAAAGTTACTACCCAGCAACAACAATTGCCCCAACAAAGTAACTTTCACATATTTTTCATGCAATTTAATGGGTATAACACAAAGCACTCTTRCTGCACTTTTTGTTACCTCTTTCTGACCCACATTTCCTAGCACACACATTTGACAATGGTTTATTGTTGGTCGGTTCCCTTCTCCGCACAATATAGCCCAGCTGCTCTTTCCTCATYCTTCCTTCCCATGACGTTTTCTCTTGCTTATGGGACCTCCATGGTCTTTGAGAGCTGATTTTATTTCCCCTCCTTGTTCTCTCAGTGGACCTTTTAAACAGACATAATGAAGCTAGCACCTACTTTGTCTATGATCATATGGGTCTCTAGTCTTTGATAACAATGTGCCTGGAGGCCTGCAGAAATGCAGAGATCAAGAAAGAGAGAAAAATACTTCCTGATAGATCCCTATGGATCCTTACTTATCCATGAAAAACAGTTTGGTACATTGCTCCTAGCACATTACAGACTGATACACGTGGAACAGATTCTCTGAAAAGCGAAGCGTGCAAGATCTGTCCAATTTAACATCCTTGAATGCATGTCCACTACCRTTATTAACTTCAGAAGAACCTAAGGTGCACATCTACAGGCAGATTGTGATGGCTTTTGTGTGATCAGATTTCGAAATGGTTAGCTGAGAGCATCTGTGCATCAGATTATCCACTGTAGAAGTATATAAGCATGAGAATATTTACATTAATGTTTCTTTCAAAGTTCTCATGACTTCTGCATCAGATCAGGTATCTTCTCTGAAACAACAGTCAGCATAATATAACCAAAATATCACTTTTTTTGAGGTAGTAAAATTCATAACAGAGCATATGTCTGTATCACATTCAGTAGCAGATCTTGGTATGCTAAGGGCTGACATTTATAGAGCCACTTCAGAATACAGAGTTTATTTTGGCATTTTCTAGTGGTGGATCTATGACTTTTTACTGTCAAGCTGCCATACCCACATACCCATAAGTCTACCACAAATATATATATTTTCCTGTTACAGCTTTATAAAATGTTCTTTTTAAAAAGAAGGATTTACCATCCATAGAGCTCAGCATGCTCAAACCCAGATAAAACCCCAGGAAATTTAAGAAAGCTTTTTATGCCAATAGATATTTCTTGTTGATTATGCGTGGATAAAGGACTGAAAGAACACCAGAAGATGATGAACTTCTTTTTTGACTGTTGATGTGCAATTAAGTTATCTTACATTAGGTTTTTGGATATTCTGAAGGGAAAAARGGAATCCAGCAACTTCAACTTTTCATCTTGAAGTTTTGGCATGTGTAGCACTTCTAATTTGTACTGGAGGAATGTTTTCCTGTCAGGGGTTTCTAATAGACTTACATATATCTTAGTGCTGAATACAGACATCAGTCATTACTCTTAATTGCTAAATTTGCTATTGAATCCAGTGTTTTTGGCAGAAACTTTTCTCAGAGTTAAGCAAAAGAGGCTTTTTAAGCTGAATTTTACAGCAGTTCCAAAGTTTCGACTGAGGAAACACATAAAATAATGGTTGCCTAATAGGGAGTTGCTCCACGCTGCCAGGCTTAGGAGATAGCTACCGGTGCCTCAAGTCTTGATAGCAACATCTGACCACARGATCATCAGCAGAACTTGCAGATGCTTTAGAGCAGTATGGCAGAGATGTTGCTATACTGCTTTTATAGGCACGCTGTGAGGCAACCCTTAGTCTCCTTGTGGAAAACACAGGAGAATTTTTGTTGGCAGGATATCTCCTGTGACCCTGGAGAGGTGTAGCAGGTCCTTGCTCCCATGAGARGGACCTAGATCCCACCTTTGCTGCTCAGGTCTAGCAGCAGGGAGGACAGAAAGGGACAAAAAATTCAGCAAAAGGATGAGATGAGGGAATCTTGGTTAATAAGGGAGAGCATTAAGAAACCAGACAGAAGAAGAAAAAGAAAAGCTAGACCTGGGCCTGGGCCATTTGTGTGGCAGTGATGCTGAAAGAGGGCTGAATGATGACTACAGGAGCTGAGAACACCCAAGTTTTGATTAAGAAATAACAATAAAAAAAGTCTCCCTCTGAATTAAAACTTCAAGTCAGAAGAATCAGCAAAAGATCCACAGCCTGAATCAGATACAGATTAGGGTGAGTTCCTGGGGGACAATTTCCTGCCCTTCTTTAGATCATTTTTCGGCTGTTCCTTTCTCTCCAAGAGGCCTGGAAAGCGTCTCGTATTTATTGGGCTTTCAAACATTTTGTGAATTCTAGTGAGGGGGGGAAAAACATCACACATAATACTAGTCACCAGGCTTTCCCTGTCTCGGGACCTTCTSCTCACGTCTCAGCTCACAGCTATTTCAAAGCATTTCTGGATCTGGAAGCACACCATAAAAGCATAGGCCTGTTTATGTGCACAGAATTATTTTCTGTGGGCTTCGCAGGCTACTGAGGAGCTGTGCAAGGCTTTGTGCAAACACTCACACTGCTGGGCACCATCTCGCTTTCTCCAGCACTTATTAATAATTTTTGGTCTGAAAGCCTTCAGCGATTTCTTATCTCTGTCTAAGAGAACTTATTTTCTCCCAGCTGCGTAAGTTTTTTTGCAGTTCTCACTGCAACATTCAATCATTATTAGCTAAATATTCAAACTGAAACTGCAAGTTCTTGGTACTGTTTTCTTTTGTTCTTGTGGCAGAGGGAGAGAGGGAAGCTCCTGTGAGAGATGTCACTTAGACTGAGCCCTGCTCATTAGGAAAACTTTTGCTACTCCAAAGAGGAGGGTTAAGCACCACATGGACTTTGAGAAAAAGAAGCACAGGTTTAGCACAGGAGCTTTTATCACTTCTGAGAGGTTTAGGAAAGCATTTACAGTGAGAGACCACAAAGGGATAGAGCTTTGCTCGGGAATACTCACTTGGTGTCATATGTGCGGAGCTGCTTTTTCAGCAGGTCTAGAGAATTTACAAAGAAGTGCTAATGCTTTAAAACAGTTTGTGAAGGCTTAAATGCACAAACATAGGAAAAAAAAGCCTGTGTTCATAAGACACAGGCATTTTCTGTCTCACTCTGTACAGAGCATATTATTCACTAAAAAGCTAATTATCAAATAATAAAACTAAATTAAATAACCATCTCGAACTTTCCTGCWCAGTTATTAGATTGCTAAAACCATCACTTTAGCTTTGCATTTAGATGTGCATTAGCTTGTTACTGCTTGTATTTAACCAGGGATTTCAGATTAGACAGGGAAATATGTCAAAAGGGGAAGCTTTTTTAAAAAAGTGCTAATCCTCTAGAGTTTTCCGCATGTGACTTAGCAGTCTAAAGCAAGCTGTTTGCCTGGTGTTTTTAGGACTTAATCTACTTTCAGGATGTTCATCACTACTTGTAAAAAAAAAAAAAAAAAACCCCTAAAAAAAAAATTGGTCCATATCTAGGAAACAAAGATGCTGACAGAGACTTCTGTTAATCTTGAACTCTTGACCTGAAGGTGCGGGGCCAAATTGTTTCATGCTTCATCTGTCTGTCTGCTGACTAGGACATCACTTGTTCCAGATATTAATCCAGTAAAAAATATGTGGAGAATTCAAATAACTTTTCCTGCTTATTAAATTCATGTTTCTAGTTGGCAGCCCTTTTATTGTATTTTGTATGACCACTGCACATCAAACAGCGCTTATCACGGGGAAATTCATTCCCTCCCTGGAGGTAAAGTCACATACAAAACATCTTGGTACCAATTAGTCTAATAAGCTGTTTTCAACCCACTTGCATGCTAACGGTTCCCTAATTTCAAAGCAGAGGCATTTTTTAATCTAGAATACTCAGGGCGAGATACCCACCACATCAGAACATGGTGGCAAGTACCCTTGACATGAGAGGAAACAAGAAAATTACAGCAACAATTACAGAAGTCTATCCTCCCGTGGCTTATGTTAACATTGCCAAATCCATGTATAAATCAGTACCAACTATTCATAGAATGTACCTGTCAGCAATATACTATACAACATATGGCTCTACTTAATCAAATATACAATTCAATTTTTTTCAACTGAGAATATTCCTTCAAGGCACAGAGAAGTCAGTCAGCCAGTCACACTGAGATGTGGTTTGAAACATTTAAATATTTATGCACCATATTTTATTTATATGTATAACTATGTCTGAGAGACCCCTTTTTTAATTCTAAGAGGAAACTGGCCTTTCTGAAGGCCATTTTGCAGTAGTTGCCACACATGTCTTAGATGAGGGACTGGTACTAACTTAGAAATATTTGGGGCTTAAATAGCCTACGAAGGACTCTCTTATACTTTCAATGTTTGTTTTTTATTAAAAGCATTGTTCAAAATATGACAAAAAACAGAAATTGGAGCTACAAAGATTTTTGTTCACATTGATATTTGAGCCAGCTGTAAAGATTTAAATCACACTAGATCTTGTTTTATGAATGTCCTTTTGCAACAAGAAAACCATGGAATGCCCTTAAAAAAAAAGAATTTTGTGATATAAAACAGATGTTTTATCCTTTTTGGGGGGCTTTGTTATTGTAGTGCCATGATAGGTAATTAATTCCCAGGCTCCACACAGGTCTTCAGGCAGATGAGGAGAATGATTTGATTTCAGGGCTATATTGGAGTAGGGGAATTACAGGCCTTGGAGGGGTCATTGCAGAAGCAAGGCTCTTTACGCCRGGACTGGCTGCCTGAACGGAGCATAATGTGCAAGCAGTGTTGAACTTCAGTAAGGAGAGAAATAGTAGCTGGAAACAATATGCTCTGCTGCTCAGAATGAGCTCTTACATATCATGCATTGTTCACCTTTTTATAAATTAGCAGAATATTGTGCATTTCAGGACCAGGATTCTGATCACTCCAGTATAAATCCCTGCCCTTTCATTGAAGGCCAAGCAGTACAGGCTGCGTTTGCCTTCAAATACAGGATTCAGCGTCATCTAATTTCCATTGTGATTATGGAATTAATGTTTACCAGCTTAAAAGACTTTAATTTACGAATTTAATCTTTCACATCATAAATCGTTTTAATGAATTCAGTTGGTATCCAAATTTGCTATGAAATTAAACACTATAGTTAAAAGCATATATATTTTTTTATCCCTGTCGTATCTGCATACCTGTTGCCAAGCTTCAACGGCTGTGTTTAGAGAATGAATTGCATATTGGCCAAAGCCGATGAAAACGGGGTCCACCATTATTGTGCTGTCCAAGATTCTTCCGTTGGTACTGCTGGAAATAGCAATTTGCCCCCAGGTTCTGAAAGGCTTTACAACACTCTGCAGAGTCACGTTTCGGCACTCCAGCAGCTTGCAGCTGGCTTGAGTGGAAAACTGGATCTCCTGGAAGACTGACTCATCTCTCCACTGACGAAGACAGACGTGAGGCTCATCGAAGGACATGATCATGTATTCCAGTTCAGAGGGCAGGCTTCTGTCGGAGGTAAATGGTTGAAGAAACTTTGGTGGAGCTGAAGACGAAAGAACAAACAGGACAAGACTAGAGCATCACTATTCCCAGATCACGTGTTTTGACAAGTTATGTAAAACAGAACTGTGTTTAACAGTAGCTGCAAACAAAAAAGTAAACGTATATAAAACAGCAGTTGGCCAAATTGTTTTACCTACATCACACACAGTACTGTCAACTTTTTGCAGCAGAGACCATATTTTGGAGAGAATTTTTAGTGCAGTACATGTACATGAAGTTCCATGCATGTTCCATGCACAGCACATTAGGAATACAATAGGAATACAATAGGAATTAACTATATAACATTTGGTGAAATGTAATTGTACAGTCTAACAGGCTTCACAATGAAAATTGTCTTTGCTGTGATTAGTGAAGCATTCAAGACCACAAACCCTCAGTGTGACATGTTGCCCCCCAAATGCTAGAAATTAAATAGACAGCATCCTGAGACTTATGTATGRGAAATATATTAAAAGGATTTTAATGTGTTCACTGAAGTCTCAGTCCTGCAAAGTGCTGAGCACTGTGGCAGCAGAAACTGCAAAGCACATACACCACTTGTATACCATAAAGCCTGCAAGTGTTTCCATTGATGTTATTATTTATGTTGTATGGGACCACTCACATGCTTAAAATCAGCATATGCTCAAGTGCTCAACAGATCTGGAATGAAAAGGCTCATTACTTTCAAGGATCAAGCCCTATTATTCTACAAAAGTGTAATGGATACAGTAAATTCTCTGCTCTTTTTGTATTGTGTATGACAAACTTAAGGCTYAAAACTTAAGGTTTTTATGTGCTGTAACAAGAACAACATCAGCATAGACTCACTTGTTGTTGAGCAGTGACACAGCTGAGTTTGATTCTGATTTGATTTTTCCAGTATATGTACATTTAAAAGGTCTAGCATCTGGAATTGGAGGGTAATAGCTAGGAAGATTATGTGCTGATAGAGGTAGTCCATATAAAACTAAGTATCTGTTAGATGTTGAGTGTCTATCTTGGTATGATTTGACAATGAAACAGAACAGATTTGATAATGAAGCAGAAAAACAAAACAAAAACTCACAAAGAAAGATGGTCCTGTAAATATTACCTAGGATATCTGCTCATCTTCCATGCAAAGCATTCCTGGCATTTGAAAATCAGACAATAATTTAAAGATCTCTTGGAATGTATTTGCCATTAATGCAATGACAAAGTACTGAACAAAACCAGATGTAGCTCCAGAAGTGATTGTAATTGGAATAACAGTTAGATCTGCAATTCTCAGAGCTCTTCCAAGGAATTCCTACCAAGGGGGTTACAAAATCTTCAAACATTTTAATAGGATTGTTAATATGCTGAAAAATTTGAAAGATTGGACCCATTCACTAGGATGTCTCAAAAATCAAGTGGCAGCTGCTTTCACTAATCAGAGTAAGGAAAGTGAGTACAGAAACCAGACTGCTTCTAGAGTTACCCACTGCTGGGGGCAGGGGCAGCCCCGGCAGCCACCTCGCCTTTGGCTGCGCGCTCTCAGACACCAGRAGTCACCCATTTTACCCCGACGTCTGAACAATCGTTCTGGATAGTAACTGACTTCAGGAATTAGAAAACGGGAACCACAGAGAGCTAAATAACGATCTAGTAGCACAAATAAACCATATGCTTTTATGTTTTCACATAAAGCAATACCTACCTGCTCCTAGTTGATCGAGGTGATGGCAGAGGTGGACTTCCAAGTAAGTAAGCTGGACCAAGACGCTAAGTGAGGGCACGAACCAAGGAGTGAAACAGGAGTCGACCCTGGTACAGGCTGCCAACGCCGTCGGAGTTACAAGCTGATCACATGCACTTTGGGAGCCAGATTCACTTTCTGAGCTGTAGAAGATAAATAAGAGAGTGGGCGCCAGCAGGTACAGGCTTTTCTCACTTTAGAGCAGGAAGAGACCACATGCCAGGTATTTCTGACACAGCCAATGCTATCATTTGGTTTTACATTTAACTGTTAATGTTACTGCATATGTATTTTTTCCAAGCAGAGCAGGGTAGGCAGGACTGTAATCCAAAAGTGATTTTATCATAGTGCATTTCTAGTTTATTAGCTGAAACACAAAAACCCCMAAAATCAAAGCAGGCTTAGAGAAAGTGATAAAAATTTTCTCCTTCAAAAGATTGATCTGAAAGTTAATTTTGTTAAGAAAATGATTTTTTTTCATTTTAAGGAAACTAACAATCATTCAAAATCATAATTTAAGAAAAATCTCTGTAGTGTTATAAGCCTGAAGCCTTTACTAACACCAATTACAACGTAGTAATGCTACATTTAAAATGCCACTAATTCTTTTTTTTCCTAGACCCCTTGGATATATCCAAGCATTATCTTTCAGTCTCTGGAGAGAAACTAACACTACATCACAATCCCAGAGATTGGTAAGATACCACTGAAGTATAAATAAACTTTCTAAATTAAGCCAAATCTATGATAAGTATTTCTCATTCTCACTCATTAGCAATTTTGCACTAAATAGTTTAAGCTTAAAAGCACAAGCTCGATTTAAGACCTGAAACTATGCCTATAGTAACRTACTGCTTTTATTTCTCCTAAAAAACAAAAGTTAAGTAAGGCTTAATATAAGGCTTATACTTAATATAAGGCTACCTAATATAAGTCTACCTACCACTTTTTCAGAAAATAACTAATCTCTTTAATGAACTGCAAATAAAATTGAACTTATATTTTAAAAATATTTTAAATTCAAATGCTGCCTTTCTACACAGCATTTTATAGTTTGAAGACCAACTTTTAATTCTGGCATGTGTAAATCTGCAAGCTCATGCACAAAGGATGCATAGAGTTGTTCAAAATGTACAGCTGCAGTATATGAAATTCCATGGATGGGCGTATAAATCAGTAGTACTTTGTGTTACAATAACTAGTAAGTATGATATTTATTTATGGCTTAAATCCCACTTTAAATTTGTGGACATAAATTACTTGTGTAGGAGTAAAACTCAACTAAAGATAAGCTAATTATCAAAACATCAGGACATGATATAAGACACGGTGGTGGATGAAAGAGTTTTTATCAGATTTTTTTTAGCCGCTTTTCTCTATTTCTTCAACCTAGTTAAATTGCCTGTATTTCAAAAACTGTGTCATTGGTGCTTTGTGAACTAACATCTTTGGAAATAAAATTATTCTGTGTGTTCACATGACAAAACATGTATGAGACTGGACTCGATGGGTTGCTTTTCTTGGATCTGCCTCCCCGGATGTTCCTCAGTTCTTAGAACATWACTCAGAGGCAAATTCCAAACCACCAAAATTCAAATGCTGATTTGGACCAGCAACTATTTTTGAATCTGTAAAGCTAGTTAGTTCCCTCAGAATAACTTAGAAAACTGTGACAATTTTAGCTCTTTATGTTTTGATGAGAAACAGAGGTGCAGGGSCATACACAATGAAAACAGAGAAATGGGASTGAATGAAAACAGAAGTTAACCAAACTATGAAGCAATAAAAACAAAAAAATTACACTTTGATATTCTGAATTAGGACTCAGTTTGTTGAAGCAGCTCTGAGACTCACTGCACTAAAAGAGGATGGACACATTTCTGAAATGTGCTTATTCTGAAATTAATCATGTGGAGAGAAATACAACAGCCATCTTTTCATTGCCGTTTTCTGATCTGCACAGCTTTTGGGGAGGTATTATTATTTTATCTTTGGGGGGGGTCTGTTTGATTGCTTTCCCATTTGGAAACCGTACCTGGAATTACAGTCCCCATGATATTATGAAAATAACAGTCACAATATAAATATACTAGCACTAAGAGTAGCTTTGTAGCCACTTTCMACTTGCTGTAGTATCACATTTAAGAAAGAACTGTAATAAGAAATCGTAAGATTGAGTGAATATATTTTAATGAGAGATTGTAGTCCCTGAATCACTATTATGACCATTTGAATTAAATTAAACCCCACTTAAACTGTATTTAAATATTCATATATTTACATATTCATAATCCTGCAACTGCAATAAAGTTTGCTGCCTAGGTCGATCTCTTACAGGCCTTCAGCATCACTCTCCTTTTAGCTAGTGTAGAGCACAAAAAGCAAATGCACAGTCTTTCCTTACGTGCCATACACAACCAGAAAATAAAGCAGTGGTAGCTGAAAGTTTTGGAAACATTCTGTTAAGTGTTGGTGAACAAAAGCTGGAGGATTGATATCAAAGAAATAGATCTGAGTGCAAACCCAAAATTTGTACATGACATGATTATGATATATAGGAAACTGTTTGACAGTGTGGATTGTGTGCAACTTTTCAGCTGGGGAGAAAAGGAAGAGCTGGAACCTACAGCTTGTGTTTGGCACAATATGCTGAGGGAAGAGTGCAGCAAAACCAGAGGAAATTCTAAATTCCGGCAGAACTGGCTTAAATAGCCTTTTTCTTTTTTTTTAATTCCATGAAGTATCAAAATTTTTCAAAAAGAAAATGCCAACACTGTAAGCCATTATAAATTACAAAGTATGGTAAATTCCTATCATGCCAAGGGGTTCACGCTATATATGTGACAACTGGGAACAGTGACTTAACAGTGACCTGCATTTATCCTTGTTGTTCTAAGAGTGGAATATTTAAGTCAAACCTGCTATTTGTGATGAAACCTCGACATGGGAAAATATCCACTGGGAAGAAGAATGAGACCACTTAACTCTCTTAATTTATGACTCAAATACTGGTCTGAATCCAAATCATTAGATGTCAAAATCCAGGACTCTAATAACTTTGAATAAGGGCTAAAACAATTAGCAAGAAACGTGATCATGCCCTCTCACTTTGATTTTTTTTTTAAGTAGCAATTTAATGCTTATTCAAATATTTTTGTACTTCTTTTACAGTTTGCCAAATTTGAAGATGTTTCTTGTAAGGCATTTTCTATAATTATTTCACATTCTTATGTCAGTAATTATATAAATGCTATTTACATAACAGAAGAGATGCATGAATATATGTAAGGTAACCCATTTGAGTCAAACCAGTCAGCCTTTCTCTATCAAATTGGGGAGAGATTTTAGGGCTCCATCAGCCAAACACAGCACAGAACTAAAGCCATTTAGATTAAAGTTTGCTAAGCTTACAACATGAATGTTTAAYCTGTAAAAATAATTTATTCTATGATCAACTAATTTTTTTCTAGCTTTCTTTTTAAGGTTTTGCCATATAACAGTTATTTTGCCGTATATGATTCTTTACATAGCTACTATACTAGATCCTCAAAGGGATACTAAGTTATGGCACTTAGGACTTCAGATTTCTTCATTTATTGAATAAATACTCATGAATGACCATTCAAACCTTTTTCACTGAAAAATGGTCTAAAATACTCTTCAAATAAATGACTTATGCTTTTATATTATATCTTAAATGAGACAGTTCCATGGTTTTTATAATTCTGATTCTTTCCTGACCAATCAGAAGAGTTTGCCAAACAGGATTTGGGTCCTAACACCATGGAATATTCCTATAATCATTGTGGTTGACATTCCTGTAGCCTGTCAGCTATTACTTAACATATCAGTAGGATGCACATCTTCTCACATATCATGCTGTTTTCCTGGAATCAGTAATAAAGTGCTTAGAAAACAAGCGACTGGCCCTATAGTATTAATAATTAGCATAACACAGAGGTTAACCCTCCCTCCACAGATTCAGAAGGAAAAAAATACAACCATTGAGCACCATCTGTTCAGAATCCGACCCAAAATACAGGATCAAACAAAATAAACTTCAGCAAGACTAAAAATTTTTACACTTCAATAGTGAATTAAAATTGCTAATTAATCACGTAGAGTAATGTCAAATTGTTGTGAGTCCCAGGGGAAGCACAGCCGGCAACATTTATGCATTTATTCCCTTCTTGTTTGGATCCCCAGCCTCTCAACCCTGAAATTCCTTGGTCTACCACCGGACACTGGCTTGGAGCCCGGATCTCTGGGGTTCTTACAACTCCCAAAGACCTTATGATAAACCTGCTCGAGGAGCAAGCCTAGCACAGACAGGACACCGTCAAAAAAAGTTTGTTTTTTCTTTTTTTGATCAAGTAAGATACAATATTTTAGGGTTCTTGGGCACAACAAAAGATCCATACCAAATGCAATATATTCATTTGATGGAAGACAGGGCCATAGTGTCACCAGAGCTGCCTTCAATCTCTCTGTTTCTTTTGTTTTGTTGTGAAATCTTGACACCCAGGTGCTTCTGAGGATGTTCACCCTCCAGCCTCTTAGAACTCAGGCTTAGAAGCAGGTGAATTCACGGTGTGCCATAAAATGTTTCTGATGTTAATCACAATCCAAATGACTTTAAAATTACTTGTATTTCATTTTACCTCCAGCCTTGTTCTTAATGACTAGCCTCTGTATTACGTCTGAATGTAAAGCCTCATATKAGACAGTACATATAGTGAACTCTGAGCAGAAAACAATCAATATGATTACAGTGTCAAACGTCTCGGTGAAAAAAAATCTACTACATTTCACTACTTCATTTTCAGTTCCCACCGAGTTCACATTTCTGTGGTGTTAAGCTGACCAGGAAGGTAATTTTGCCAAGGTCCCACATTCAGAGGAATTAACCTTGTCTAAAACACTTAACTTCTCAATAATGAAAATGCATTCTTTTGCAATTAGCATCAAGAAATCATTTCCAACCTGATACTATTAATGGATACCAGGTGTTTAATTTTCATCATTGATTTTCTTATTCATGGGCTTATTTCCTAATTTCTCGGAATTCTGCAGCTTCATGTACGTGTATGTGGATTCAAAATATATTCAAACATATTCATTCATAGGCAAGAACAATCAGCAACTACCAATGATCCAACAAGGTCATTCTTGTTTTTTTCTAGTGTAATTATAAAAGGTTAGGGAAGGTCTTAATGGCAGTATTTTTTTATAAATTTCTTCAAAAGCTACATATTAACCAAAATCTAATCAGTGCTAACACCATGAATTTCTGACACTCTATGTCATTTGTAAAACTTTCATTTGTCAACATAATGAAAGATTGATCCTGTTTTTAAAAATGCTGATTAATTTTTTTTTCTGTTAGCATATTAAACAAACTTCGTGAAAGACAATGCAATATTCTTAAAGAAATATTAGAATTTTGTTTCGTGAATACATCTAAAACACCCACGTGGTTTACTTTGGTCACTGGCTTGCACTGAAGGCAGAATAAAGCTGATGCCCTAGGAGGGGTGCATAGAAGAAGAATGCTGGTTATTAATTTACAAAAGAGGTTGGGCCTCAGCCCCCTCCTGTAATTAACCAACTCCATTGCCTTGCGCAGGCATGAGGCTTCAGGCCATGGTCTGGCTGCTTCCTTTCACTGTTCAGTAAACCTCATGTGCAGAAAGTCCCAGGAATATGATGCTGCCAGCCTCTATATAAATCTAAGAACGTTTTTACCCATGTGCCATGCACTTGTGTGAGGGTCACCTACAATCTGAATCTCATTTAAGACCAGTTACTCTTACCACGGATGAAAACAGTATCTTATTTCCTAAGTCTCCTGAATAAGATCTCTCAAGAGTGCAGCATTAGGTTACTGTTTTTCTCTCCTCCTTTCAGAATTACCTCTGGTCATCAGGCACGTTCTGACTGCTGTTCAGGACAATCCTCCACAGATCCGAGGCTATGAGCTCCTTCTGATCACTCACAAGGTTGATGCTGGGCAGCTGCAGCTCACAGACTTTGCTTTCTGATAGACTGAATTCCCGGAATGCAACAAATGATTCCTGAAGCTCATCCCAGTACTCCAAGCTGCAAGGAATCTGAGATAAAAGGGAGATGTCAGAATTACTTCATGTTTCCTCAAAAATAATAATAAGATTTACTGAAAGTAAAACTGTAGACACACTGTTACACACCAAAAGTGTAGAACTAAACTAGAGTGAGCTGTCATATGGAAAACCAGAATTTCAGCTGTACTCAGATTCTGCACTATCTCCACTTATCAAGGATTTTTAAAATTTCATTGCAGTATGTCACTTCCAAGTTACTCTTATTAGGTTCAGAAATAACTTTTATGTTCCGTAGTGCCCAGAAATCATTATTTATATTATGCAGACAAGAATTCCATCTGATATCATTACAGCATGGTATCAAGTGTATAAAATACTTTTCCTTTGAACTAGCATTTTGATTTTATTATTTAATAAAATATCCACTCATTAAATGCCCATTTATTAATTCTCATATTAAAATTATTATAGACGGAGAGGAAAAATGGGCTTGTGGATGGCCAATACACACACAAAAATCTTAGGACAAATTACGAAGTGTGATCATCTGACTCCTTTAATGGGATACGATATCTAGTTAATGTGTGGTTCATACAACCAATACATGGTATTTTAATCACATCCCTAAGGTTAGATTTGCAAATAAGTCACTTTGCATATGCCTGGACACATCACTRACCTGGGGAGAATGCTATCAGAGACATTCCTGAATAACACAGAAAAAAAAAAWATATATATAGATCTAAAAGGAGCATGTCTTATGCTTTCTAATAACAGCGTGAAAGTAATAATTATGCAAACTCTATAACATCTGGAAATTTYGTAATTAAGCACAGAAATACACAGTTCTGACACTCATACATACCTGGTAATTATTAAAATCAAGTTGACAGAAAAAAATATGCCATTCCTGTTTTTATGAGGGTATGTGTGCATGTGTATCATATAAATAACAAGAAAAAAAAGCTCCATGATTTTTTCTCCTTGTTACTCTGTGAAGACAATACRGCACACGGAGGCAAAGGCAAAGGCAGGTTGATTAATTATCGGGAATTAAGGTTAAGAAATAAAATTCAAGGAGCTCAGTGGTTCAAGCAGAGGAGGGCAGAGGAACATAAATAATCTCAASCCCAGAACTGTGAAAGAACTAACATGTGGAACCACACGTATTTTTACTACATCTGTCAAGTCAGAGTGGTACCTGAAGGCTGAAGAGAGCAAACACAGTGACTAATTTKAAGGTCAGAGGGGAAAAAAAAGCTGATAACTGCAGGCAAAATACTCTGATGCCAGTAATGTGTGTAATGTGGAGGAGGATAGGGATATCAATCAGGAAGGTCTGTGCACTTTTGAAGGCTAGAGTCAGAGAAACCGGCATAGATTTAATGTTGAAGTGCAAGTCATATTAAGCAAGACATCTGGTTATAAGCTGCATATGCAACTGAAAATGGTGAAGAAGCAAAACAAGCCAGTGTCAACTGGGAAATTATGAGACAAGATGACAATTCCTGCAAAAAGCAGATGTCATCCTGAAAGAGATCAGGTGAGACCTGTCCAAAGAGATGGACAAAAATTGACATATTTAAGACACCAGTGAGACCTCACCTGCAATGTGGCATTCTTTTCTGATTATCTGATTATTATTGCTSATTAACAGAAACATATTAATTCACACTGGAAACATAGTGGAGACAACTACATGAAGAACTACAAAGGCACATGATTGCTCTATTTAGACTATTACTTAGTATTCGTGTTTCTTTTAGATTGTATCTCCCAGTAATAATTGAATTTTGCAAGTTGCACTACAGGCTGGAGCACCTGCACCCATCTGTGAGAGTAGAGAAAAGTAATAGAGAGAGACTGAAAACAAAAATGAAAAATAGAGATAAAAAAGTCAAAAACAGATTGCACATGTCTTGCTTAAAAAATAAAATAAAAAGAAATGCAGGCATTCAGTAGTGGGTGATCCTGAGGAAATGACCCCAAAATTAGGTGCATGTATAGCATCAAGACAACACAAAACAATCAAAGCAATTACTATGGCACAGAGAATTAACAGCATCTCTTCAGGCCCTGGGAGAACACAACACAGAGCATTTTTTTGGGGACTCTTCCTGACTATTCACTTCCTAAACAGACTGTAAGGAATTTGAGACAGCACAGGAATAACAAGTGGACCTAGTTGTGTGAGTATCCAGAAAGACCATATCATCTTCCAGCCAAAGCATGCTGGTAAGCAGGTTTAAGAGATTACTCCTCCACCCTCTCCCTCCTTTTCTTTTTGATTAGAAAAATCTTCCTCACTGTGTTCAAATGTACTGGTAAGTTCACCGGAGCAAGATGCAGTATATTTCAAGACATCATTGACACATTAGTACTAAAACATCCAAGATGCGACTTATGAGATCACCTATACTAGCTAAAGATGTAGAATCTTTGATTCCTAAATGCTTAGCTTTAYTTGTTCTAGGGAGGTTACTGCTAATGCCTGATTTGGATGAATTTAAGAAAAGATGGTGGCTCTGGATGGTATTAACTGCCAAAAATAATAGTTGTGAAACCTTGGAAAAAGGCTATAATCCCCAAATTGAGTCATAGGCACTGGGAATATGTGAATTAGCTGCAAGAGAAAATTCACCATCTGTAGAATTAAGTATAGTCCTTTTGACCCTAAAATACTTGAATAAAACCTAAGCTATAATTCAAATAATAGTTCCCTCTTAGAAAATGTGACGACTACTGCTCTCTCTATAAAACTTAACACTCAAGCCTAATGTCTTACCGCAAACTTCTTTGCTAAACAACAAACATGCTTCTTCAACTGACACTTCTCCATAACTTTGTCTTTCTTCCCAGAAGCTCCAAAAATTTTAATTGCAATGATTCTATTTATTCTTAAAATGCATTATTGTACAGTGTATGTCACTTAGCATGTGCATAAAACTACTATTTATATATTGGCTCAGACTTAACCAAGAATCTCCAAATTCAGTTTTGCAAGAAAACCACATCTTACGGTGCAAACTCTTAGAAGAAGGATTATAGCAATAGGGAGCACAACATCTGTCAAATTCTCTTTTCAGTAGCATTAACAATAGAGATCTGAAACAGAAGCAAACAGCTACATGGAATCTGCCTAAGCTCTAAGTACTTACAATAAAAATTGTTAATAAGATAAAGAAGTTAGAAAATTTGGAAGGTTCTCCCTTCTTCTTTGGTAGACTATAGACATAGGAGGTCTGAAAACTGGATGGCACTGCTCAGCCCAACCCCACTGGTCAAAGTTGATGTATTTTTGATATAGTGTGTTAATAAATTCTGATAAGAAGAACTGAAGGAGTTGCCTCTGACAGTTCCAGTTGTGACCCTTGTGAGGAAAGAAAGAAATAACTCTGTAGAAACCTTTAGACTTTTGTGAATGTGGATGGCTGTTCTCCATGAATTTGTCACATCAGGCTAATTGCTGATTTAAGGAAAGTATCTCCATACATACTACATGCACAGAGACATTACTGGAAATCATCTCATATTGACTATCAATAGAATCTGACTCGGTTTGAGCAGATGGATCTAAACCATATACATCAAAAAAACAAAACAAAAAACTTTCAAACCTGCATCCTTCAAGTCATTCCCTGAATACCTGTGAATCTATCAGCAAGACATTACTAATAATCAACATAAGGAACAAGCATCAGTGCACTACAAGCATATATTGTGCGTATATTATCTGTACCAGAATAATTCCTATAAAGAAATTAAAGTTCAAGAATTGCTCTAGAATCTGTTAACATGTTACATATCTACATTTCTATCCATGTGCTATACATCCTATTAACAATGCGGATATTCCTTTTTGCCACTTGCAGTTATGTGTAATAAATGGGTACAACAGGAAAGGAATCATTATTGATTCATGGTTCCTTCCTAAAAGGGCTTTTACGATCACAGCATTGAGGTGCTTTCTGATTTTCTCGTGACCTGATGTTATCCTCCCAGCTTCAGACTACTTTGTTAATTTGGACATTTGGACACGTTGGACATTTGGACACGTTGGACATGTGGACACTTTGAGTGCACACCACTAATAACAGACATGCCTCCAATAGTCAAGAAAAGGACCAACATGTGGGAGTGGACTCCCACATACAGTCACATTACCATAAATGATCCACTGTCCATACTGTCACAACACTAACAAGTCTCAGACATAAATGCCATTGCCATTTAGGACAGAGATAATTAAAATGTCACATTTTCTTAACTTACTGCAGATTTTCCACAGATAACTTTTTCTACATTTAGAAAAAAAATAGTCAGTTGAATACTTTTCTAGGTAGAGAAATGAAGGATATATATGTGAAGAGTATTATTTATTATTGTTTCATCACAATACTAGCATATTATACTTTTTTAGCTAAATGTATAAATGGATCTTTATATATATGCCTGCAAAAGTTTTATGCTGAAAAATAGATCTTGTCCAGCTAAGATATTTTCAGTTGGGCTAGAGAAGAATATGCTCACTGTTGCTCTCAGGGATGCTCCCTTTTTATTTATGTTTTTAGTTTTTGTAAGGAAAAAAAAAAGGCTTATTCAAAATAAATGTTCATTTCTTGWATCTCAGTCCCTCTCATGGTGGGCGCTTCCCCTTGGAAATGGAGCTATTCTTGTTCCAGAAACAACTACTGTACAAGCAAAGGCACACAGAAGACAGGAAGCCTGTGTGTGTTTTATCTTCTCTGAATAGGGCCACCTAAGTGAACGGGAGGCAGAATACAATGCAAACTTGTGCTTTGTGTCAGACGCCAACCCATGCTGAGATTTTAACTGGAGCTTCCTGAGCATGAATAAACTGATTGCTCCATAAGAAAGCTATTCTGGTATTAGGTTTTTTTTTTTTTTTTTTTTCTGTTTTATGGCCAACTGTCTTAAAAATACAATTCTCCCTTTAGGTGAATAGAACTAGCAGTAGTAGAAAATAAAAATCCATATCTAAATTTTTATAAGGGGGAAAATCTTGGCAG